TACTTTTAAATCAAGTCGATTTTCAATAAACAGTTGTATCTTTCAAGGTAGTTGTGAAATTTCCAGTGTGAGATAATGGCTAACGCTTGGGAATGGTTTACTCATCCAGTCCCCGATAGTCACGTCAATCATTCTTGTCCATTTTAGTGACAATGTGCAAGGGCGATGTCCATGGGATGTTTGATAGTCGAACAATCCTTAAATCTCTCATGCAGTCGAATTCGTTTTTGACCAACCTCACCCTTTCGCGAATACATGTGATCGCGTAGTCGAGATGTGATGTGCGACGTTGTTGGTTGCACATGGCAATTTTGGTCGCGTTTGGTATAGCTTGGGGCACTTGTCGAGTATCCGTTTACAGTATGCTCCGACTCTGTGGTTAAAAATGTCTGGGGTCAATCTACAATTGGAGAAGGTCAACCAAACAAATAAATTAGTATTTTCGTCTATTTATCACCATCTGCGTCAGCAAGTAGATTAAGGGGTTGTAGCAGGTCCGTACCAATGATTGGCATAGAAAAGTCCACAACAACCAAAATCCAGCGAATGAGTTTTAGTAAAGTCACGTTAAGATACAGATGCTGCTTATCAAATGTGGTGATCGGTTTCTCGGTTGCTGCCTGTAAGTTGGAGACTGCTTCATGCTGTCGGTCGTTAGAATTTGCTAGAAGAACGCTGACTTTGAGCCAGGGTCGACAAGGTAGCGATTTTTTGTCACCACACCAGTGATAAATAATAGACGGCTAAGTTCACCGGCTGCGATTGCCGTGAACACGCGCCAGCCGATAATTTTTTCGTGTCTGTCGGTTCGAACTTCGGGAAACTGAAGGATTTTCCGCAGTTTCTAGATACCAGCATCAATCAAATTTATCTGTCTCTCATGATGCAGAGACAGATCGTTTTCGTGGCGAGTTTTTTCAAGGAGTTTTGGATTGTCTGCGGTCATGACGAATGTTAAAGTAACATGTTAGAGTATGACAGAGGTTTGTGACATCGTTTCGTGTCGTTTGAGGCTTTTCTTTAACTGAATAGACTTCGGCATTATATGTTCTGGTGAATTCAGTTGGCAGATGCGGTCAGCTCGTCTTATGCGTTGTTTTGAAATAAGAAAGGCATCATCTGCGCCTGTTGGGGAAGCTTAGACAGGAAAAGTCGTCTGAACGAGCCCTCAACAAAAGTCCGGTGACCAAGGAGGAGGACATGAAAACTATCACAGTGTGAAAAAATTAAAGCTAAAAATGATATATAATCTTTCAACAAGGGAAAAACTCACAGTTTACGTATTTGTGTACCAGATCACATCAGGCTCACCATCAAAGACGTCTTAACTAGTAACACCTTTATAATCGAAGTATGCCACCTCAATCAAATCATAAGTCAGGAGTGGAGGCATTAGAAGATATATTTAGAACGCTATAGGTAGGTCTTAGATGGCTAGTAGTTGAAAGGGATGCGTAGCACGACGTACCCACTGGTGATCTGATGGGGACGATTAACAAAGAGTCTTCAGCTAGGTGAGTTCATTAAAAGTAATGCAGTCAGCATCAAATGTTGAAAACCTACAGAACTATTGATTTTGGGGATTTATTTACCGCTACAGTAGAGTGGACTATAGTCACAATTTTTACTCATTAAGAGTGATTAAATCCTGGAATTCGCTGCCGGATGAGCTGGTTCAAAAAATTCCCAATAGTTCTCTAAGAGGAAATTTCCTCAAGTTAACTTGACATATTTTTAAGGACTATGGATAGTATCTCGCTATAATTTACTAACGTTCTTTCCCTTTTATCGACAAATATACCTAAGTCCATAACTGAAAGCATCAGTGAACCAATGAACTAGATACGGAAGCCCGTTAAGCGAAAGCTTCCGCTATTCCATCCACATCCATTTGAACCGTCTAGACCTTGAGGTTTGCGCGGTATTGGTAACAGCTGTTGTCACGTATTGGTTTCAAGGTAAATTCGTATTCATACTTCTAGACCTTTTGCATTCAACTAGAATCAACTCGATAACTAACACTGTACTTCTTAATAGAAACATGTGCTTTTTCCGGTCTATTTATTTTGTCGAGTTAGGAAGCAGTAGAATTTCCCTATCACAGTTAACTGTGTTAGAAATAATAAGTGCTAGTGTCTGGTTTACTAAATTCTCATTTATCGAAGCACATCAATACTTACTTGATCAGTGTTACACTGAAAATATAGAAAGTCATTCGAGCTGCTTGTTTTTCACCATGACCCATGTACTATTTTTATTGTTTTGGGACTGGGAATTAAGCAGCCTACGACCTATGTAATTCCTTTTCTAGTAAGCTTCTGAGAGTGCCTAGTTTTCTCTTGAATGAGTCAATCGAAGGTGCGAACACTACTTCTCTGGGTAACAGGTTCCAAGAATTGATGATTCAGTGTGAACACCTATATGTCCATTCTTGGCTTTTCTACTCGCCTGCTATGTCTTATGAAATGTTCCGATCTAATGAGAAGTTAAAGGGAGGGTGTATCTGGTTCAAAATCATTTCCTGGTATTCTATACATCGAAATCTTTATCTGCAATAGTAAAGTGTAAAGAGGTTTAGCTTCTCAAGCCACTCTTTGTATGATAAACCCCGGAGTTCTGGAATTGCACGAGTAGCTGCCCTCTGTACTTTTTCCAGGATATCCGAGTCACCTCTTGAACAGGAGCTTGTAGCCTAAATGCAATTTTCAACCCTAGTTCTTACTGAGGTTGTGTATACTGCAGTGAACATGGTATTATCTAATTTGGTGAATATCCGCCTTAAAACCCATAGGGTTCTAAACCCCTTAGCTGCAACCTCCTGTTAGTGGGCCGTGGTCTTAATATCACAACTCACTGTCACTCCAAGATCCTTGTGAAACCGGGCCACGAGTACACACTTCTCTTTTGCTTTACCTATTTACCTTTGTATCCCCAAAGCGCATGTAGGCACACTTTGCCATGTTGACAGGCATCACCTACCCTTTAGACCAGCTAGTCTCAATATTTAAGTCCATCCGAGGTGCACATGCATCTGTGTCTCCTGATATTTCTCGCCGGATTTTTACGTCATTAGAGTATAGTAACATTAGTGAGTCAACTATACGTAGATCATTTACGTACAATACAAAAAAAATAAAGGACCTAGGACAGAACCTTGTGGTTATCCCCAAAGTACTGGTCTCCAGGTGGAGCACTTTGATTTTACTTTTACTTTCTGTCCACGACCTACCAAGAAGTCCTTAAGCCATTTTAGGAGAGGCCCGGCAATGCCTAGATTTTCCAGCTTCAATAACAGCCTATTTGTTGGCACTTTGTCGAGTGCTTTGCTGAAGTCTATGTATTTATTTATTTATTTATTTATTTGAGCACATAAATATTGGTATAAGAGAGCGCCAATATATATGTCTATGTAGTCCACTTCCACTGATTTCCCATTGTTTAGAGCATTTACCCATTTCTCTTTTGCTATAAGGAGGTTTTTTGTGCAAGATAAGCCTTTTCTGAAACCATGTTGTTCAATGTTTAACAAGTTATTGGTTTCCACGAATGTCATTATGGTCGTTTTGACTATTCTTTCTAGTATTTTAACTGCGACACTGATGAGGCCGACAGGTCTGTATTTCCATAGTTGTCTTGGTCCTGTTTTATGTATTGGAGTGACGATTACATCCTTCCAGTTCATAGGTAACACATCTTGGTCAAGTAATTCATTCAATATCACAGTCAGTGGGGCTGTAATATATTTTGCGATTTGTCTCAGGATTTTGGAGTGTAGTTCATCCTGTATTGTTGAATTTTCCATGTCTAAGCTGCTAAGAGCCTTAAGTACATCGAAGTCCACGGTGAGCAGGTGGTTTGTTGACTCTGTATTTTGGTCTGGTTCTTTGTCTAGAAGAGGTTCCTGAGTGAAAATTGCCCCAAAATAGTCAACCATAGCCTCTTCTTTTTCCTAATCTTCTATCATTTCAGACCCTCTCCGTTCCTTAATTAGGTTGAGAATCCAATGTTGCATCCTTGTTTTGTAATTTATGTACGAGAATAGTCTTTTACGCTGCTTGATTGCAGATTGTGCCAACTGCATTTCATATTTTCTCTGAGCTTCTCGAATTTCAATTATGCACTTATTTCGTATTGACCTGTAGAGTTCCATAGTACTTTCTGTGTCAAGGCTGATGGCAACGTTCTAACATTTCTTCTTTTGTCTCATTAAACGTCGGAAATCCCGGCCTATCCTAACAACAAAAAGACCTTATAAACTCTAGATACAAACAATACTAAAAGATATACTGCCTTCTCGTGGCGGAGGTGTTGTTTACGAAAATGAGAGGACGAAAAGCGAATGTCCGGCGCTTTAACCGGATTCCAAACCAATGGTGCACATGGGCTCCAGTATCCTGCGGGAACAAATGGCGAATGAACCAATTGTTGGTCACCGGCTTCCATGGGACTGCATCTCCTTACGATGCTCCACTGCCTTGTGGATCAGACCCTCAGGTCGAAGGCTCGGGGTGTGGCCCCCTAAGAAAACCACCTGCTTCGGTTTGGGCACCCGGGCAGTATCACAGCCCTCACACACATATCGAATGAGATTTGTGTGGCGCATATGTATTTGGTGCCTCTTTGTACCATTATCTATGTGTTGAAATAAATAAATAAATAAAAGATATACTCAGCAAGGAAAAATATACCAGTGCCTTATTTTTTGTGTCTGTACTCAAAAAGTACAGATAATAAACTCTAGAAAAAAACGATACTCTTGGAAATTAATTTAACTGAAATAAATCCAATTAAAGCAAAAACAATGGTCTTGATGCGTAATTAAACGATCAATGCCACAAAATTTACTCAAACGGAAAGTATCACTGTCCCTAATCTCTGCACACTTTGCAACTCAAAAAGCTAAATACGATTGGTCATATTAAATTCATAGTAAGTAACTAAGTATTTGTAAATCTTATCATATCACTACTTAAATGTTTTTGTTATACCTTCCCCAGACGAAATAAAATTCCTCAGAAAACTGGTAAGTAGCAGCGCTTATTAAAAAGCAAGCTCGATCTATAAACTTTAGTACATCATGAATTACGATGGTTATACTAATATTTACCACCCCAGTTCTCAGCAACCGGGATACTACAACCCGTCCGAAATGTAAGTCAAAAACGTTCATTTCTATTATTTTTGGTCAAGAAAATTATTGGTATATACTCAATGTTTGCTAAACGATCGGACAGACGGATGAACGAACCATATACAACAGTATCGCACCTATCTAAATTACTGTGATACTTCAGGATCTTACTTTTTTCTTATTTGAATAGGAGGGCCAAATCATATAGCTTCATCTAAGTTACCAACAGTATTCCGTGATTTTCCTGAGCTGTAGAAGCTTTTTTAATCCAGCCGGCAGTTAGCAAAAAGGGAGAAGTTGGGCGTAGGCACCATTGTCTTCCACCGTGTGGCGCGTATGTATCTGGTGCCCCCTTGTACCAATATTTATGTGTTCAGATCAATAATAATAAATATAAATAGTCATCACTTCTAATTCACCTGTGAGCTGGCCTCGATGCACGACTTTGCAACCTGGTTCCTCTTAGGAGTTAATTATGGTAGTGTTGATCTTTTCAGGTACTCCAAAGTATGGAAGATTATACGGTATTTTTTCTGCCCACTCTTTCAAGTGCTTTTTTACAATCAAGGAATTCGATGTATGTCTATGAGTTCTGTTCAAATGATTGTTTCACAATAATCCTCAGTGTCGCGATTTGTTCACTATATGATCGATCTTTGTGAAATCTATTTTGTTGGTCTCAAGGTTATGGATCGCTAGATAGCTCTGCTTTCATTGGATTTGGAGCATAATACAGTTTACTTTAAGTCGCTGTAGTATTAAGTTGACTAGAAAGTGTGATAGTTCTCCACGTGGTGTTTCAATTATTCATGACAGTTGTTGGTGAACGTACTGTCACCTGCAATTTTTGTTTTATTGATATCAGGATTTATCTGCTAGTTAATAGTGTGTTCTGGTTATCAGGTTTTGTAAAATGCTTGCTTCAGTTATTGTAACGTATTGATGAGCTTTCAGTTCAACAGAATAAATGTGCAGTTATCTTAAAGCTTAAAGGAGCTAACGAAATTCTAAAAATAAATACAACAGTTGTAAAATCGGCAACATGATCAGTTGTAGTAAAGATCAGGTACAAAAAATATGGTATAGAGAGATTTCAGGGGTGAGGTTTTTAAGGAAGATAGAGAGCAATGGACTCAAAGTCCCTAAATATTGGTTACAATAATCATCCGCTTATTCACCTTGACTGTTTTTATATGAGCGTGTGTATTGTTTACTCTATTCATCACATGTCGGTGTCTTATTTTTGATCTGACTCCAATTTGAATAAACTTGATTGATATGCTATGAACACAAACCTTCCATTTAACTTCGTATATGTGTGACGGTTGTAATGGGAAGTCAAATACCGGTTGCGTTGGATAAATGTATTTCAGGCACTCGTTTATCCAGACACATTCAGAATGAAAGGCGGGGGAGTGAAGAAAAGCGAAAAGATGAGGTGAGGTAGAGAAGACGAATGATCCAACTTGTTTTGATAAAGCATGACTCAATTTTTATACTGAAATAGAAACAGGCTACTGACATATGATGGATAAGGTAAGCAACACACATACGCTCATATAAAAACAGTCATGGTTAATAAGCGAATAATTGATACGGTCAAAGTATGACTTAAAAAGAATGAATAAGTTCTGTCCGGAAGCTAGAACAGCCCATGTGAGCTTGATATAGTACTAGGCACTATGAACCCACCTAGAGCAGTTGGGAAACCCTGATTCTAAACCTATGGTGCACATGGGCTCCAGAATCACTAGAAAACAAATGGCGTATAGACCTATTCGTGATCACCGGTTACAATGCGACCTCAATTCTTAACATTGCCCCATTGGCTTCTGGATTAAACATCTGGGTCAAAGGCTTAGGAAGTAACCCCCTAAGAAAACATCTACTTCGGTTTGAGTGCCCAGACAGGATCTCAGCCCTCACACAAGTTCAGTGATTTTTGTGTTGTTTATACACTTTGGTGCTCCTCTGTACCAGTTTGTGTTTAAAAATAATAATCTCGAGATCGCTTACTCGGTGGTCTCATAATACATGAACGATACTTAGAAGATACGTATGATCAAATACTAGTAACCTAAAAATATTCTGTATTCTGAATACCCATGTTCCACACAGGTAGGATAAAGCAAACTTCTTCGCAGTAAACTCGTTCATTGGTTGGGGGACAGATATCTCCTCTACGCCACAAGTAACGCAAGTTGCCAGAGGTCATTCGGGCCTACTGAATCTGTGCCGCTTACGAAGCCACTTCTGAAGCAGCACTTTGCATCTCATAGATCCTTGTATTTTAGCTTTAGTTGGTCAGAAGACTGCATTTTGTCATGGTTTTCTTCTTAGTTGACTACATCACCTGCGTATTCTATGTCAACAAGTGAATATCCCGATAGGAGATTAGTCCATGGAAAGTCAGACAATAATGGATGTATATGACAAAATCAAATAAAGATTGAGTAAGTCGACAGCCCTGACAAGCACTACTCGAGGTTGAAAATTCTAATGATACTTCTCCATACGCTCTGACTTGAGCAGTAGTATCCTAGTAGAAAGTCTGTATAAGGTCAGCGTAATTCTTTGGTACGACTTTCAATAACGGACACTGCCAAAAAGTCTGTCGATCTAAGGGATCAAACTCTGCCTTAAGATTAAGAAATGCAACTATAGTTGGGAGTTGGTAGGCATATAATCATTCCGGGATTTGGGGATATACCAGCTGAAATTATGGAGATGAGCATTTCTGTTATTAAAAGCTAACTGTTAGCATATAAAGAGTTCTGTTAAATATGATGCCTTCTGCAATCTACTGTAAAGATATGATTGGATAAAATTTACCCATTAGTTTCATTCACTGTATCGCTTTTTATAATTGCATATTTAGTTGGGAATAGGTACATGTCACTTATATTGTTAACTGGTTTCCATTTCCTTAAACCATACAATCTACTTTATCTGGTGAATTCGTTTGTCTTCTTTGTCATATCTATAGTACTTAACTGTGCAGTAACGCTGTTCGTTTTTCATGGTTCCCTAGGCAATTCAGTCAATTTTCATATGAAAATGCAAATTCAATACCATCCCAACCTATCAATCTTCCCTTCTCACAAGTACAATATTCCTCTGCTGCGATGTATGAAGGAAAAGAAGAGGATTACGAAAATGAACCACCTCTATTGGAAGGTAAGAATGAAATGCATTTCAAATATTTTTCAAAGAACTAGCTCTTTCACTGTACCATAACTTTTAAAAGCACTATTATTTGCATGTATGATGCAAACGTGGGTTTTGCTCATACCCTATGGATATGTACATTCCCATACACTGTAATAATGTATTTGTAAGGCATAACTTTGTTGAAATTCACTCTTGTTTGGTTTCAGAAGTTTTAAGGTTGTCAACGTGAATGGTTGTCGCTTGTAACACGAACACATCATGGAGTACTATTAAAACCCAGTAACAATAGTTATTAATGAAACTGTTCATTACCGAATTTACCACAAACATTAACAAGAATGCATAGTTATTCAGCAAAATAACGTGTCTGTAAACTAGTTTTCCACTTAATCATTGGAAAATAAAGGAGTATTGTTAAGTGCAGTTTATTTAAAAACAGTTATACCTAATTTTAAAGTGTTACACTTTATGTAACGCAGACGATATCGTGTAACTTTGTATCTGTTACCTTCAGTGGATTTTCATAAAAGAAAGTGGAGAATGCTTTAACAAAAGATAAATAGTAAAATTGAAATTGATCCGTGCTCATAATTTACTCAGCAATGTTTACTGTAGATCACATGGAACGTTAATTTATCACAACTTTACTTAAGTAGTAGAATAGAATTAACTAACGATTTGTGTATTTAGGGACAAACAGTTGGCAGAAAATAAACCGAATAGAGTTTAAACAGATAAGGTTAACTGATGCTTTTTTAAAAGACATCTACGTTACATCATCAGGTCTTGTTTCACTCATCATATCATCAGACCTCTTAGCCGAATTCAAATGGTTCATAGTTTTGAGTAATTAAATGTATTTAATAATTAATCAAATCTTTTCATAACCACACCAACATGTCTAACTTTTTAATCATCTAGTTATTTTGTGCTGTTATGTAAGACTCAAATTCAGCTAATAATTTAACTTGATAATACAATCTTATACTTCACTACTGCTGACAACCTAATTCACAGATAAATTTTGAAACAGGTCAATTTGTTTTAGAAACAACATTTCTTATGATTACTAGGTTCTTTTACATACTGATTCATCATAGTTTATATATTTTATTATGAACTAGTTCCATTTTATGTTTACTGATATATGTTTGTTCAAATGTTCACTTAATAAATAAAGTATACAACCATATATTCGGATTTCTCGACATAACACTGCAACATTAGACTGTGTATGTAAGATTTTGTCTCTACCAAAATAAGCATTCAGTTTGACGTCTTCTTGTTTTGCTTAATTTACAAGTTACTTTAAAGAACAAATTTCCTCATTATTATAGATTTCATATTTGGAGTTGCTAATTAGTTAAATCACTGAATCACAGCTTTGTCTTGTTATATTAAATGAGAATCCAAGAATTGCTTGTGAAATGATTTTTCACATATTTGATTTTCTTCATTAATTCTAATGAAGTATTTGTATGTATTTAAATATTATAAACATTAGCGTTTGGAAATGGATTTTTATTATTTCAATCAAACACAACTAACACATACAATTAAGTCTGATTATATCATAGATCAATCGTTCCGATAATAAAATACTAAATTGTATTACTGTATGATAATTACTTAAAATTACATATCTTCTTGTGTTACAGAACTTGGTATCAACTTTAGTCACATTGTACAAAAGGTAAGTAGTTTTTTTTCAATATTTATATAAGGAATAATTAATTATTTATCGTCACTTGTGGGTTTGTTAATTTCAGTTTAGTGCAGTTTTATTTATTAACACTTAATACATAGTAGTTGCTGACGTAATTTTATTATGATAAAAAACTACATTCACCATTGGTAACATGAATTTATCCAGTCGTTTGCTATTTTGTCATCATGCAAATGAACCATTTTCAGTTAGTGAAAGTATCAATAAAAAAGAGTACAAGAGAAAAAGATTATTTTTGTCATTTGATTTCTTTGTGAAATATGAGACGAAATATCTAAAATGAACTGCATGAAAAGTTACTTTTTCTTCACTTCCACTATCGCACAAACCGAATGACAATATATCAAAAATATCTATGTAGTTGGCAAAAAACTGATATTTAGATGCGTTGAAGATTATATATTATGTAGTACAATGTCCCACAACACATTTTTGTTTTTCAGACATCATCTGTCCTCCTTCCTTTTAAAGAAAGTCCTCAAGAAGTGCTTGACGATACAGATTTGGCCGGACCTTTGGTTTTCTGCCTGCTATTTGGTTGTACCTTAATGTTTGTGAGTTTTAATATACAAATGCAAATTGTTAGTGTTTTATGATTACCTTATTGCAGTTGTTTTGGTAATCGTATACATATTTCTTTTTTTATCATTTTACTACGTAGGCTGGAAAAATTCACTTCAATTATATCTATGGATTAGGTGTATTTGGTTGCTTGGGTATTTACCTCCTGTTATCAGTTATGACGCCTAGGGGAGTTACACCAACTTGTGTCATTTCAACATTAGGATATTGCCTACTTCCTATGTGTCTTTTATCTTCATTTGGGATTGTATTTTCTCTTAAGTAAGTTTATTCTTTTAACATGGATACATTGTACATTAATAAGTGATAATAACTCGAAAACGTAGTCTTATAATAACATGCAGTAGATTATGCTTTATTAGCATCTACATTTTAAAAAACTTTCTTGCTAATTTACAGTAATTTCCTAGGCGTTGCGCCAAGAGGAACCTTAATTGTTCATTTTTGCAGATTTCGCTTCCAGTTTTCTCTTTCACTGAACCTAAAGCGTACAGTATCAAGAAAAAAAGAACACCGAGTAATCGGCATGCACTGCCTAGTTTTTCTTTGTCGAATTCACCTTTGAACGAATTTATCGTGTGCATGGAATAATTATGCTGGATTCTACTTACCATGTTTTCCACAGTCAAAGACAGTGAGCAGAAGGGCTAATGTGGATATATAATGTACTGCCTAACCACTTCTACCCGTGTTTATCAATCACATATCTCTGCCTACCACTCATAGTAGCAGGCTTGCCAATACCTTTACATTTTATGTTGTTGGTGGTAGCATACAATTTTCATTTTTATTTATTTTATTTGAAAAAATAGACATTGGTACAAGGAGGCACCAAATACATATGCGCCACACAAATCTCATTTGATTTCTGTGAGAGCTGTGATACTGCGCGGATGCCCAGACCGAAGCAGGTGGTTTCCTTAGGGAACCACACCCGGAGCCTTCGACTTGAAGGTCTGATCCACAGGGCAATGGAGCATCGTAAGGAGATGTAGTCCCATGGTAGCCGGTGACCAACGATTGGTTCATACACCATTTGTTCCTTCAGGATACTGGAGCCCATGTGCACCATTGGTTCGAGATCCGGTTCAAGCGCCCGACATTCGCTTCTCGTCCTCTCATTTTCGTAAACAACAGTAGTGCCACGAGAAGGCAGTGAGTGGGACTTCCTTGGCAGGGGCTGCATACGCGTGGCCGTGTGAGAGCATTTCGAGAGGGAGGGCGGGCTCACCCCACTCTCGGCCATATCATGGTATTTGGGTAGAGTGAGGGCATACAGCCACCTTTCTTCATTGTTCCATCCAAGCATTGGGGTTAGACAAGGTTGCTCAATCTCACCATTCCTCTCCAACTTTGCCATCGATAACATTCTGGAAACAGCTCTGATGGATGTAAGTAATGGCGGTGTGGATCTGTTGCCTTGAGGAAGACTTCCCGACCTTGAGCATGCGGATGATGTTATCTTACTGTGCGATAATGCCCAAGCCATGCAGTCCGCACTTAATCAGTTGGCAATCAGTGTCCGTAGGTATGGTATGTGCTTCGCACCTTCGAAGTGCAAAGTACTTCAACAAGACTGGCAGGATTCTAATCCTGTACTCACTCTGGATGGTGAGCAGATAGAAGTAGTCGAGAAGTTCGTGTATCTAGGTAGCTGCACAAGTGCTGGTGGTGGCGTGAGTGATGAGATCAATGCACGTATAGTGAAAACCAGAGTGGCTTATGCCAATCTGGACAATTTTTGGCGCCTTCATGATGTCAGTCTGGCTGTAAAAGGTCGGATCTACAACGTGTCGGTGAGAGCAGTTCTGCTCTCCGAGTTGAGGACGTTAGACGACTCTCTGTGTTCGATCATCGTTGTCTCCGAAGGATTGCTGACATCCAGTGGCAACACCATGTCAGTAATGCAGAGGTTCGGCATCGTGTATTCGGGCGCAGAGACGAAAATGTAATCGGTGTCACCATCTTGAAACACCGACTTCGGTGGCTTGAACATGTTCTACGAATGTCGTCCCAGAGAATTCCACGTCGTACATTGTTTGCGGACACTGGGACTGGCTGGAAAAAGCGGAGAGGTGATCAGTGTATGACATGGTGTCGTGATATGAAAGAAAGTTGCAAGGGGCTGGCTTATGCTGGTCCTTCACGACTCCCTGTTTGGGGTCCAAGAGATGGTGCGACACAGTGGCTAGAGACGTTATCAGCCAGTGGCAATCCTGCTGTAACCTTCTTTTACGCTCTTCATAAAAATGTGGTTGTAACTTCCTTAACTGAAATAATTCTTCTGGTTGCACCTTTCCGTTTTCACCATTATTATTATTATTATTATTATTATTATTATTATTATTATTATTATTATTATTATTGCACTACCTTACACTAATCTGGTTGTTATTGTCTTTTTTTCCTTTACGCTCCTTACCTTCTTTTTTCCCTTCGAGTTCTCATTGTTTTGTGTGGCGCATATATATTTGGTTCCCGCTCGTACCAATATTTATGTGTTCAAATAAATAAATAAATATGTTGTTGGGGACATCATCATATGGAGGATTTACATAAATTCCCTCTTCACAACAAAAACACATCATATTCGTCTTCTCATATATATTTATGTCTGACTTACAATTGGTTGATCAGTGAATGTCATGTATGTCTAGCCCTTTTTAATGCTGATTGAATCATACAATGTGGTCACTAGTCTAAGTGACTCGACATTGCGTGCAGCATATTGGGAAGTAAGGTGGTGGTTGGGAGTAATCGACAGGAAACCCTATATCTAGGTTTCATACCATTTGGCACCTCAATATAATGTAAACAATGTCAATCAGTCAGTCAGCTACAACGTAGGACCAGGCACATTTATGCAACGGTTCAAGTTGCCATACCTCGTTAACACAACAAGATGGACACCGGATTCATAAAAGTAGCTAATTTAGAGGTGGTAATATATAAAAGAAAGATTGCAATAAGGATATAGTACAGCAAGAAAGAATTAGTTCGCAGAAAGAAAGATATGAAGCAATTTTAATCTCTTAGTTTAAGGGAAGATAGAGAGTGTATACACCGACGCCATTGTGGTCGATTCTCAGCCATGTCACCCAGAGTTTCCAACCATTGGTTACGGTAGTTACGCGGACCCCAACCAAGTAGTCTGCATCTACCAACATGGCTCAGACCAGAAGTTAGTGACTTCAAACACTGATGCCGCGTTTTGGTTTGGCCGCCCTTAACTTTCTTCCAACCATCTCCAGAACCGGTTAGCATTGCATGTCGTGGTAATCGGTGTTCAGGCAAATGTAAGACGTGGCCCAACCATCTCAGTAGATGAAGATTCACAAGCTCATCAACTGATTTACCATCATTCCCTAATACCCTGCGTCTAACCTCGCTATTACTTACCCGGTGATCCCAGCAATATTTCTGAGGCATCTGTGGTCAAATACTAGTAGCTTACGAGTGTCTTCTACTCTTAATGACCATGTTTCGCTGCCGTAGATTAAAACAGAACGGACTGCCGCGCAGTATACTCGTCATTTTATTGCTAGACAGATATCTCGCCTTCTCCATACGTGACGTAAGTTGGCAAAAGGCAAGCGAGCTTTTCGAATCCGTGCTGAAATTTCGTCAGACACCAACCCATTAGGGCTGATCAGACTAGTATTTTAGATACTATATTAGTTAAACTAATCCCTCTATGGTTGTCACAGAATGATTTTAGCCCTCTCTTATATATTGGGACGATAAGTGATTGTGACCAGTCAGATGGAATAACGTCTAACTCCCAGATCTTAGCTAAAATATTAGTCAACCTAATCGCTAAAATTGGACCACCATCCTTGAAGACCTCTGGAGCCAATCCATTTGGACCAGCTGCCCTTCCTCGTTTCAGATTAACTATAGCCTTTTGAACTTCAGCAAGAGTTGGGGGACCTACTTCAATGTTCCATTCACACTATCTGGGAATGGAGGGTAGTTGTAGGGTAGCTGAAGGCCAGCTGAACTGTTCCCCGAAATGTTCCGCCCATCGTTCTAAACGTCTGGACTGAGAGCAGATGAGGGTGTCGTCTTTTTCCTATATCGTCTCACTCACACTTGACTTATTAGTTCCAGTTTCTTTTATTTGTCTGTAGAGCTGTCTTGTGTTCCCTATAGCCGCCGCCTTTTCCATCTCTTTTGCTTTCGTTGCCCATCACTGCTCACGGTCGTTCCTTAGACTTTTGCTTAACCTAGATCCGATTTGTTGTCATTCTTCATCGTGTTCAGAGCCTGATGGGATGAGTTTACGAGAATCCATCAGTGCAATAGACCTTGAGGAAATCCATTGGTTCTTTGTAACCCTGTAGTTTAAATCACTGATAGATTTCACTGCTGTTTCCACAGCTATTTGTATATCCTTCCAAGCAACATCTGGGTCAGCCTCGTTTTCAGAACTACCTAAGTGTGACCTCAGTTGTTCCTGGAACCTGCTTTTGGTTTTCTCGCTACTCAATTCAGTTCTAATGGGTCATTTTACTGTGGCTTGTTTTGCGTCCGGTGAGGTGCAAGCAGATGCGTGCCCGTATTAGGGCGTGGTCGGAGTCCAAACAGGTACTCCAGAATGAGCGACAATCTTGTACCGACCCTCCCTAACGATGACTGATGGCAATATGGTCTATTTGAGTCCATCGTTGGTTCGGTGTAGGGGGTCGCCATGTTAGACGATGTCTCTCCTTATGCTTAAAATTTGTGTTTGCCAAAAATAAACGATTGTCTGAGCACAGTTGCAGCAGACGATCACCATTATCTGTTCGTTGTGCCGGAATACTAAAATACCCACCTAAATGCCTTTCTGTTTGGCTTAAACTACCTATCTGGGCATTAAAGTCACCTGCTAAGAGTACTGTCTGAACGTTTAGCTTTCTGAAGAGGTTCAGATAGCTTTCTGTAAAATTCATCTTTCACTTCATCTGAGCTGCAGTCGGTTGGAGCGTAGGCAGAAACGACAAAAAGGCAACGACGTGTGTCCCTATCCTTCCGAGTTCTTACGAAGCCGTTTAGCCGAACAGCACATAAACGACTGTTAACGGGGATCCAGTCTAACAGTGCTTGTTCCGCCCTCATGCTTAGTGCTATCCCTACTCCTGCCAGTCCACGAGAGCTGGTCATCGCGTCACCAGATACACGGAGGGTGCATCTCGTTGGCTCTCCGTGTTGCCGAGGTGAGGTCAAGTGAATGACCACACTGGGATCCTGTATGCGTGTTTCAGAGACACAACACACATCAATGGTACGAGATTCTAGGGTTCTAGCCAAGGAAGCCTGTTGGCCGATTTGACATAGGGAGCTTACGTTGAAGGCTCCAATGTGTAGTTTGGAGCGAGATTTCAGTAGAACTGGGACAGTGTTTTGAGCACTAGAATCGTTGGCTATGGTGACATTTGAGGAGGAAGCCGAAGAAGGAAGTTTAGAGGTGAAAGTCGATGTAGGAGGATTAATAGGAAGTGAAGACGGAGGTTGATTAGGAATACAGTGGTCCTGAGTGCATCATCACTTCCCGGTTACCCACACCGTGGTAGGGTTGTTCTGGAGATACCTGAAAAAGAAATTGGAATAGAGGTGGTCTTAGTGACCTGAAAGCGTGACCGCAGTGCCCAAGGGACAACTGCTTGACGTCAGTCACACACGACGTTTTTATGGGTAAGTTTTGTGTTAGATCCGTACTTTTTGGGACCTTACCGCCAGAGACGGATATCCGTGGGATAAGGCGAGGTGTGCATTTTTAGGGTCGACCTTTTCTAACCCCACCCCCTTTGTGGGAAGGCAGCATCGCTGTCATGCTGGTTGTCTGAAGGAAACACCTTACTGCTGTCACACCTCTGTACAGTCAGCAGTACGACTTCGCCTTCGAACCTTGGGTTTGTGGCTTTTAGTCTTACTGCTCTTCAACCGACCTGTCTGACATGGTAGGACCTTGAGGAACGGTTGTTCCAGCCAGTATAGCTCGGTTGCTTCATCACGATAGGCAAGCCCGACCACCACGTCAAGGCAGCAACAACGGTCGGGAAACAATGCCAAGTCACTTAGACAAGTGATCACATTGCAACTGGATTGACAGAGTTCAGTTAATACTAAGGACTTTGCCATTGGTTACTACTCAGTGATCAATCAGTCGTAAATACATCTGAGTCCTACAGGAGATCAGTTGCGCCCCGGATAGCTTAGTGATAACACCAACTTTAAAGCTGGGTGACACGGAATCAAGTCTGCCAGGGAGCATCAGTCCCAAAAAGATTACACCTTGTTGGTGTCAAATAGCACGAAACAGGTTTTGGGTTTCCTGTCGACTACCTCCAGTCACCTCCTTACAGTTCAAATTATATACGTCGGTGGTAAGGTTATTCACCGTAGTTTCTTCTGGATTATCATGCGCCTACTCGTTACATGGGCTCTTATTCACCTTCATGTGAATTGACATTGGAGTTAATAGGTATTTGTAAATTTGTCACAATCCCGTCAATCAATTGCTTTTAGTTACCACATCCATTCTTGTTGTTTCTGAGTTCAAAAATATTAGATATAAAATTTAGATTTTAATAACGGTAACCTCCCTTTTTCGAATTTACTTGTACGTAATTTTTTTCTATATTTTATCATACATAAAATGATGTACAACTCTCGCTTAATTTTTATCCCAGAAGTATACTAGGTGTTGTGTTGACAGCGACTGTCGTTTCGTGGTGCACAATTGCTTCCAGTAAATTGTTTGTTCGTAGTTTGGATATGCAACACCAACGCATTCTTGTGGCGTATCCATGCGCCTTAGTGTATTGTGTATTTGCACTCCTAGTTGTGTTTTGATTCACTTTCTGTTGTTTAAATCATTGGATACATAGCTGTCAGATTTACTGATGGATAAACTTATGATGACCTGTAATATTTATCATGCGAAAAAGATACATTTTTTCTATTAAAAAATTCATTAACAATGGAATTATGTTTGTTTATGAAACACTGTTAGAAATATACTGGGTTTCACTTGGAATTATGTGCCAGTATTTATAAACTGATAAATATTGTTTTTATTTCAGGTTGGAGAAATTTAGAATGATATGCTCTTTACCGCAGTCACCAAAAAAAGTAGTCGCTCTTGATCGACTTGAGATGACAAAGAGTGGGAGAGCTTATTTTCTTTCCCGAAATATTCGCACACGACTGAATTTATAGCTTCTCTTTAGGATGCCCTACTCCCCCATGCTAACGTAGCGGGTGCATTTTCGCAATGGTCTTATATTATGCGGATTATTATAACTATTCTCGATGTACAGTCAAGTGTTATCATTACTGTCTATTGATTTGATATAATCTTCTACTCAACAAATATAAGCTCCACATGGATGACGGTTCAGCTTATATTTCTAAAAGCCTGCTTGAATAGCAACTTTTGATTTCGATCATAAGCTTTTATACTTGGCACAACTATTTTATGCCAAATAATTAGTTGGTATTTTTAAAAACTTTATCTAACACTGGAACTTGTTGGAAACTGAAAATCACCTGACAGTTGATTTCTAAACCCTGAGCTGCCCACCAATGCACACCCATTAAGCCTATTCGTGATATAGCGCAGAATCTTGGTGACCACGAAATACCACGCCACCTTCAATTTGGTGTTATAGTATGAATTACATGAATTTAACAGGTTAATACTCATCCATGCACAGCATTTCCCCAAAACAATGCACATGTACAACTGGGAATTCAACTTCCTACGCTGAACTTGATAATAACGATTATAAAGCAAAGCATCGCGGATAACCTGGTGTGAATGGCGTAAATAACAAGAGGTACTGAAGAAACGAGAATGACTAGTGATAGGCGGGAGGGAGACCGTATGGTCGAAATTATTTCGAAAAGTGACCCATTCTGACAGTGTAAATCACGGAAACACCTGAAATAAAACAAAGCAGTGATGAGTGACTACAATGTCCAAGGAAAATTAGCGATCGTTTCGTTGTAGAGCTATAGTACGATCCACAGAAGTAAGATAAAATAAAATGTATTCATGGAAGAAAATATCCAGATTTCTCCCACACAGAAGACGTGGGAATACTGTTTGCCCAAAGAAAATACATTATCACTACATGCTAGTTCGGTTTATGGAAAAGCTTTGCTCTTGCACCTTACCAAAAGCACATTATTTACCTTACAACTGTATTTGCCCCTGGTCGTTACACTACCCAACTAATCTTCTCAATACTAACTTAGTTTGACAGCATCATTCGTAGCTGTGGTTCAGGTGCGCGACAAAACTATGCCGTTCTCACGATAAGTCTTTATTGTATTTAATATCCCAAACAACCAATACGGTGTTAAATTACCCTTTTAATAAGTACACGTAATTTTAGTTGTGTAGTGGATGCTACTCTCAAGGATTTTTAAGAATAAGACGTATCAGAACGTAGCGTCGAATTCGCAACTGTCAGGCAGTGAAGAGTTTCGGTGAATTGAAAGTATGACGTTTTGAAGGTTAGTCGAGAAGACAGTTCAGATTGCAGAACACACTGGAAGATGCAGATGGACGATTGAATGCTATCTATACACACCATGTAATTGCTTCGTACCTTTTGCAATAAATATACATTTCTCCTGCTTATTGTCCTGTTTTATAGTTGATAACTCCACCTGTAGCTCTTCTAGAGTTACTGCCGGTTCCAAGTCCGGGTAAAGGAGGAGGGTTGGGTATGAGGTTAGCGTCCCCATCCCATAGAAAACTAACTCTCTAAAAAAAACGCTTACCACAAAAAATAATTCAAACCATTTTAACTCTGCCCGGAGAGTTAGAAGGTCTTCTTTTAGAAGAATTATGACGCTTCATGGTGAAAGCCGAGTTCCTTCGGAAGCCACGAGGTTGATGCCCCTTCTAACAACCAGAGCAAAAAATTTTGTAGGTACATCGAACGTCCGAACAATGTGGGAGACCGGGAAGACCAGTCAAATAGCAATGGAAATTAGGAGATACAATTTGGCAGTACTGGGAATCAGCGAAACCCACTGAACCCAAGTTGTACAGAAAAGGGAGAGATGCTGCTATACTCCGGTCACGAAGATGACAATGCTCCACACACTCAGGGAGTCGCTCTTATGCTGTCCAAAGTAGCACGAAATGCACTTGTAGGATGGGAATCTCACGGATCCAGAATCATCAAAGCATCATTCAAAACAAAGAAGGAGGGGATCTTAATGAATATTATCCAATGTTATGCACCCACAAATGATAGCAACGACGACATTAAAGATCAGTTCTACGAGCGGCTGCAGTCAGTCATTGAGAAATGCCCAAGAAAAGACCTAACTATTCTGATGGGAAATCTAAATGCCAAAGTCGGAACAGACAACACTGGATATGAAGATATTATGGGACGACATGGACTGGGAGAAAGAAACGAAAATGGAGAAAGATTTGCAAATCTATGTGCATTCAACGAATTGGTCATAGGGGGCACAATATTTCAACACAAGCGTATACACAAGGCTACATGGATCTCACCGGACCACACTACAGAGAACCAGATAGATCATATTTGCATCAACAAAAAATTCCGAAGGACAATGGAAGATGTGAGAACCAGGAGAGGAGCTGACATAGCTTAAGATCACCACCTAGTTGTAGCCACTTTAAAACTGAAGCTAAAGAAGAATTGGACAACTGGACAAACTGCAATACAAAGGTTCAATACAGCCTTCCTTCGAGATACTGACAGACTCAATGAATTCAAGATAGCTCTCAACAACAGGTTCCAAGCCTTACAAGATCTACTGAAGGAAGAAGAAACTACTTTGGAGGACAATTGGAAAGGCATCAAGGAAGCATTAACTTCAACGTGTCAAGAGGTTCTGGGCATAAAGAAACACCACCATAAGGAGTGGATCTCTATAGAAACTCTGGACAAGATCAAAGAAAGGAAGAACAAGAAGACAGCAATTAACAACAGCCGAACACGAACAGAGAAAGTCCAAGCACAAGCTGAATACATAGAAGCAAACAAGCAAGTGAAGAGGAGCATTAGAACCGACAAGAAGAAATACATGGAAGAACTAGCAACGACGGCGGAAAAAGCTGCTAGAGAAGGAAATATGAAACAGCTTTACGATACAACGATGAAACTATCAGGGAAATACAGTAAACCAGAGAGACTGGTCAAAGACAAAGAAGGCAAGCCAATCACTGAAATTCAACAACAGCGGAACAGATGGGTAGAATACTTCGAGGAACTCCTGAATAGACCGGCTCCAATGAATGCACCGGATATCGAAGCAGCACACACAGATCTTCCCATAGACGTCAACCCACCAACGAAGGAAGAAATCAGAATGGCCGTCAGATAAATCAACAACGGGAAAGCAGCGGGACCGGGCAACATACCAGCTGAAGCACACCTATCCAAAAAGATTTGGGAGGAGGAACAAGTGCCGATGGACTGGGAAGAAGGGCACCTCGTCAAGATTCCAAAGAAAGGAGATCTGAGCAAATATGAAAACTACAGAGGCATCACACTACAGTCAGTACCAGGGAAGGTCTTTAACAGAGTGTTGCTGAACCGGATGAAAGATGCAGTAGACGCCCAACTTCGAGATCAACAAGCTGGATTCCGTAAGGATCGATCATGCACAGACCGAATTGCGACACCACAGATCATCGTTGAACAGTCAATTGAATGGAACTCGTCACTATATATCAACTTCATTGATTAAGAAAAGGCATTTGACAGTGTGGATAGGAGGACGTTATGGAAACTTCTACAACACTACGGAGTTCCTGAGAAGATTGTCAATATTATCCGGAACTCATACGACGGATTACAATGCAAAGTCGTGCATGGAGGACAGCTGACAGATGCATTCCAAGTAAGGACCGGAGTCAGACAAGGCTGTTGACTCTCCCTTCCTCTTTCTTCTGGTGGTCGACTGGATTATGAGGACTTCGACATCTGAAGGGAAACACGGAATACAATGAACAGCTCAAAATCAATTAGACGATTTGGACTTCGTAGATGACCTAGCCCTCCTATCGCATACACACGAACAGATGCAGACAAAGACAGCCAGTGTAGCAGCAGTCTCTGTATCAGTAGACCTCAGCATACACAAAGGGAAAACCAAGGTCCTCAAATTCAAAGCGGAGAACGGCAATCCAATCACTCTTGATGGCGAAACTCTGGAAGATGTAGAATCCTTCACATACCTGGGAAGCATCATCGATGAACAAGGAGGCTCAGATGCAGACGTAAAGGCGAGGATTGGCAAAGCAAGGGTCGCATTTCTACAATTGAACAACATATAGAACTCAAAACAACTTTCAACCAATATCAAAGTGAGAATCTTCAATACCAACGTCAAGGCAGTTCTACTGTATGGAGCTGAAACTTGGAGAACTACAACCACCACCATCAAGAAGGGACAAGTATTTATAAATAGCTGTCTTCGCAAGATACTCAACATCCATTGGCCGGATACCATCAGCAACGGCCTTCTGTGGGAGAGAACAAATCAGCTTCCAGCTGAAGAAGAAATTAGGAAAATACTCTGGAAGTGGATAGAACATACATTTCTGAAATCATCAAACTGCATCACGAGGCAAGCCCTAACTTGGAATCCTGAAGGGAAACAGAAAAGAGGAAGGCCTAAGAACACATTACGTCGGATAATAGAAGCAGATATGAAAAGGATGAATTAGGAACTGGAAAGGATTGCCTAGGACAGGGTTGGATGGAGAATGCTGGTGAGCGGCCTATAATCCTTCACGAGGAGTAACAGGCGTAAGTAAAATGTTTATAGTTGATCCATAAGATGATACTAACTCTATTAGGTTAAACTATTGATTAATAACATTGAAGTAACCACTTTATGTAACAAAATTTCAACAATTGACGATAAGTGAATGTTTATTGTAAACCAACATTTGGTATTAATGAAATAACAGTTCATGGTGGTGGTTTTGTAGGTAACTAATAAAAAAGGTGCACGGGAGAAAAAGATGTACCTCAAGATGAGGATGTATTGCTGGTTGTTTTAATGAGACTAGAAATGTTACATAGGTTTCATGATTTGTCCCAAAGGGAAATGAGTTCTTAAAAAAGTTTTTCAAGCAAAAATAACAAAAGAACATTGAGCTATCTAATATAAATAAGTATATACAAAGCTTATAAAACAAATAAGATAAAACGGACAAATGTATATGGAATGCAACTCAAACCTGAGGATTATAAAAGTGGAATTCTGAGAATATATTATATGAATAAACAAAGCATTAAATAGACCGGATAGTTGTGAATACTTGATAAGTTGGCATTAAACGAAAAGCTTTTGATTATATTAATTCTTCGAAATAAAAGCGTGAAACGAGGTGGCTTACAAATGCAATTTCTCAATTAATAATTGTTACTTAGAATAGTTGATTGATGTGAGTAAGTAGAGTGTCTTATGGGTCTATGAGAGTAAAATTGCTGAGACATCTGTGTCTCATTGAAGATGTTAGGACCAGAAATGAGACCTATGCCTGTTGGTGTGGAATTCATGAAAGGCGATATAGTATTCAAATTATCGTGAGGGAAGTGTAAAGTATTTGCTTTGATACACGAACCAGCAGACTGCATAGACAGAGGTTGTTGTAGCAAAGGTTGAAGAGAATATTCTTCTAAGCACGTAGGATCTGTTTGAGGTGACGAGTTGACTAATTTTCGATAACGATCAATTTCATAGAAATACTGCAGTCTTACAGAAGCCGTAGATAGGCAGGCAATGAAAGTGTTCTATAGAAAAAGAAAACAAACTTTGATAAACTGCCTACAAAGACTACAAAAAACTAATGAACTTGACTGGATTTAAGTGTTCTCATCAGTAGTCAGGGATTGTGTACATAATGAATAACATTTACCATATGAAAGCCAAAAATAATGCTTGACTGTATAGACTTCGGTATGTGGAGAGGATTTGAACATTATTACAAGCCCCTGAAGCTAATCTAAACAACTTTCCTGAAAAACTGATAATGCTTTTCATTTAAATAGAGAGTCAGTTGGTTGGCATTACCTTGGGATGTTCCGAATAACGTAGACGTCAAAATTTATGAAGTGCATGCCACCCGACAAAATAAAAGAGAGCTGTAGCTCATAAAGAAGGCGACAATGGTTGTATTCTTTGTATCATTATATTTAGATAAACTGTTCAGCTCTAGGCTTGAAGAATTGATTGACTGACGAGACGTTTGCGATCTAAGAAAACAGTAAATTCTTCATCTGCTATATATATATATTTCTAGCGGACGACCACTAAATTAAGATACTAACTTATCACTCACATACATATGAGGACTAGGACCGGAGTTTAGGGGACTACAAAAACTCAAAACCATACTTAACTGAGATATGAAATAAACATTCAATTCCGTTAGCCAAGTGATGTTTCAGTTCGTCCAGATACATTTAATGAACCAAAATGACACTATGGGTCCAATGTCTTGTAGAACTGGTTCTTGTAGACCCGTACATGAAAAAAGTACTATATCCAAAAAACAACCACCAAAATCAAAACACTACAAAGAAATGCAACATGAATACAGTTTCGAAAAGAAGCATATACCGGTTATTGCTGGTGAACACAACAACCATTGCTGATCACGAGCAGGTCCAGAAAGCTAATTTAACCCTAAGCTCGATATCTAGTAAGTGTCAAGAAACTAATTTTTCAACATTAAATATTAGCATCGAAATCAACGACACTGACCTTTGATTAATGAAAGGGATACATGAAAAGTAAGAGAACTTAGTAATATGTATTATATAGTCTTTGATGACAACGCGAAATTGTAGTGAAAGCTATTTTAAGCATAAAACTAACAAGTCACCGAAAAATGCCGCAACTCACCAAACCAAGAATCACCAAGAAACAAGCAATTAAAGCGCTCGCAAACAATGGTCCAATAGTGGAGGTCTGAAAATGGTATATAAATTCAGTAATTAGAAATCAATAGGACGAAATCTTACTTTTGTAAATTAACAATAATGATGAGTAATCTGTTTTTAAAACCACGGGCAATGTTCAAATACTTCTACTCATCGATATAAGTAAACTTTATATCAGATTTAGACACTGCCATAAATATTTGATTGTCTCACAAAGGCAGATCAGCAGACGATAGTAATTTGCACAGATTTACAGAATATAAGTGACATTTTTATGATCCAACGATGTAGCAGTTACAGAACTCGACTGCTAATTTGCTAACCAAAGATTATTACTAGGTCTTGCATGAAATATGCTGAAAACAGGCCCTTATACCTGTCTAGTAAGTTACTTTATTACAATTTAAAAGATTTCATGAAGTTTCTGCAACAAACAAACGATAAAAGTAATATGTGAAGATTATTGTTTACAATTAAAATGATTTACCTGTTGACATAAATGTGTAAATGCGCTGGGTGAATTTACGTATTCACTCCATAGACTAGTATCTAATGGTCTACGATAAAGGCCTAAAACAAAATAATATTATTTAAAAGATTTCATTAGATTTTTTAAATATGACATTCAGTTCAAGTATATTTAGAACTGAGAAATCGTAAAACTGACCACAGCTTAGTTACACAAAAAACATTATGAAATGAAGCCCATAGCCACATAAACATTTATAGTTGAATGCTAATGAAGCACTCGATAAAAAGCGAAAAAATTAGTCGTAAACAGATCAAAATACAATGTCGGTTCACAAGGTCATAAGTTGTCAGTCATGTAGAGAGAGGTAGGCTTAGAGATACGGGAATATTCTTGTGATATTTAAATCCAGTCACTACTGTACATCTATTCACTATTTATTTTTAGAACCTTATTACTTCACATCTACTTTTTCTGTTAGCGCATATTTCTTTAACATTTCACTGAACCTACTTTCTCTTTTTCGAAGTAAATCAGTACACCTTGTTGTAAAATAACCTTACTGTTTTTTTTCTCAAACGTGTATCTTAAGTTGAATCATAATCTTAAACTCAAAGTTATTTTATAAATTTCATCAGCATTAGCATGGTACCCCTTGAAGTTTTACTAAATTCTACACTAGTTAACATAGGACGCAGAATTAATGATTATAAATATGAGACATATAAACCAACCACAATAGACTTACACATTGAAAGAACGACTTATCTTCTTCTTCTAAAACCCTATGCTTGACTTCAATATTGTTTAACCATCTATTATACTGCACATAGTGATTCTAAGAAATTCAACGGTGAATAATTGCAGCTAGCTGCTATCTCAGTCAGTCAGCTACAACGTAGGACCAGGCACATATATGCATCTGTCCAGGTTGCCATACCTCGTTAGCACAGCAAGATGAACACCGGATTCATGGGAGTAGTTAGGTTTAAGGTGGTAATATATAAGAGAAAGATTGCATATAAGGATACAGTACCGGAATATAGAATTAGTTCGTAGAAAGAAAGATATGAAGCGATTTTAATCTCTTAGTGGTCTAGCTTCAACTGACTCGCGATTTAAATCTGTGAAAATTTCTAAAATCTCCACAAACCCCTTCTGATAATAATCATCTGCTCACTAGTGACTGACTTCAAGAGATACTCCTGGAGTTCTAGTGGGAAGCCGTTACCAGTGGGGTTCAACCAGGTCTGTTGTGAGATATAAGCTCACTGAAGACAATGGAATATGGTGGCGCAATTTCGTGGATTGGTTGAAGTTAGACATTAACACCGTTGGATGCCGGCTCAGTGGTCTAATGGTTAAGTGCTCGCGCGCGAAGCCAGTAGGTTCTGGGTTCGGGCTCCGTGTGGTGCGGGATCGTGGATGCGCACTGCTGAGGAGTCCCATACTAAGACGAAACGGCCGTCCAGTGCTTCCAGGTTTTCAATGGTGGTCTAGCTTCAAATGACTCATGCTATCTACCGTTATTAGAGACTCACTTATGTCGTAACATAGACAGATAGTTTCGCTTATAAGTATTTTGAATGACGTGATTTTAAAAAATCTTGAATATACGTTGTGTATTAGTGTAGTGATGCCGTTGGACACTATTCCGTATAGTTTGCCGTAGTCTATCATAAAAATGAAGAAATCAGTGCACTGAACATATTTCTGGAAATCAATAAGGAATCATCACTGAATAGTGCTTTACGTGGGATTTCTAAGTAGTACATTATTACTAATCGAGCTATTACAATTTCGAAACACGAATCCAGATAATTTGAAATGATGAAAGGAATCTTGATCAATCGAAGATCTAAGATGATGTGAAGTCACCGACTAACAGTCGCACGCGAAGCCAAATACACTGACTTCTCAAATTAAGACAATTCTCGAATAAGTGGTAATCGAGAACACGGAATGACTGGCTACACAGTTCTACTGAATGTTTTGATGAAATAAAATACTCTTCTATATAAAAGGGTGAGCAACAAAATGAATATGATTAAGAATAAAATATACCTTGATCTGTTTGTATCCGATCAATATCTAATAAATTAAAGACTAGAAAAATGTCTTCCTTTTGTTTTTCTTAATCATAAATATCCAAAGTTTGGAACCTTTAATAAATTGCATGAAGTCCTCTCTTTTGTGGTTTACATATGAGCATAAACTTAACTTTATTAGGCATTGTATTACATATAAAACTCGTTATCGTGCTAAATTAACGCAACAAATAGGAACGTACCATAATGTGTGAGATTAAATGTATACGTGAAATCTCTTTCATCTTTATTCGTACTAATACTACGCCAATAATCTGTTTCTTCTCTACATACAATATGTACCATTACCCAAAGAAAGACCGGTATAGACAAAGTGACAAAAATAAGAAGCCAAATGAATGTAGCCAAGTAGGCCAACCCCAACAACTGTAAATATACGTTATATCGAAAAGAAAGCATTGTATTAGACATAAATGATATTATTAGAATAGTACTTATGATATTACAAAAAATTAAAACTTAGGTTGTTATTTATATTACATAATCTGCCTTCTTTACACGAAACGAGTCTCGAAAGCGCAGTCTTCGATTCCAATACATATGATTGAAAAGAATTCAAAACAGTGGTAGAATTTCACTAGTTATGACTGGATCTTTGAGATTATTATTTGGTAAATAATTTGTAAACATAGCAGAAACTTAAAGGAGTTAATTGCATCGAAACGCATTAATAACAACATCACGAAATACGATGCTGAATAACACCAACTTAGTACAGTTTTCGAGATTCCAGTTGATTAATGGTGTGTCTATAAATACTAAATGGACGTTTACAACAATCAAATGGGAAGCTACGGGCGTTAGAAAGTTTCCAATATACATCGACAGAGGGTTTTAGTCGATTAGGATTTCATCTCGTTTCTTCCAAAAACTTTGTCGAATGTCAAAAGATAAGTATGTGAAAATAGGATATAGCTGCGTTTTTTTTTTAGAAAAGCTTACCAAGTCCAAACAAAAAGTCCTGAAATGGAAATAACGAAGGCCGGATTACTCAGAAATAGAAAAATATTACGAAAGGACAGAAAATTATAACAGTCTAGGCATTAGTAAAGTTGCTTGTTGACCAAGCTTTAAATAAATAGACACTTGCAAAATTGATCAAAAGCGTTGAACATGCGAAAAACACGGGAAAGAAACATACAATAAAAGTGAAGTAAACGGAGCACACAAACATTATAACTTACAAATCGTGAAGAACGACGACCGCATAAAATGCCATGTTTGTTGGGATAGAACTTTGAGCGTGTGTCACCCGTTGTGACTGCTCCTACGATAACATTTATGATGCCAAAGATCATGGTTAAAACACACACAATTATTCCCAATGTTTGAAACATTTTCGGTCTGATTAGAAAATATAATAAACTTCTATAAACCAAATGACTCGGAACTTTAGGAAAACACTGTTAAATGAATAAGTTTCGTTAGTTTATATATATATCCAAACAGTCAGTCAGCTACAACGTAGGACCAGACACATATATGCATGTGTCCAAGTGCCCATACCACATTAACACCGGATTCATAGTAGTAACTCAATGGTCGTAATATGTAAAAGAAAGATTGCATATTAGGACATAGTACAGGAAGAAAGATATGAAGCGAATTTAAGAGAAGACAAAGAGTGTATACACCTACACTATTGTGGTCGATTTTGAGTCATGTCACCAAAAGTCTCCAACCATTGGTTACGATAGTCACGCGGACCCCAACCAAGTAATCTGCATTTGCCAACATGGCTCAGATCAGAAGTTAGTGACTTCAAGCACTGATGCCACGTTTTGGTTTGGCTGCCCCCAACTTTCTGCTAACCATCCCCAACACCGGTTAGCATTGCGCGTCGTGGTAATAAGTGTTCAAGCATACGCAACACGTGGCCCAACCATCTCAGTCGATGAAGATTCACAAGCTCATCAACTGATTTACCATCATTCCCTAATACCCTGCATTTAACATCAATATTACTTACCCTTCCACGACACTACTGAATGAGTGAGTTGTGTTTACACTAGGGTATACATTTACGTATTGCTTTGAACAGTCATCAAACTTTATAAAATTTTACTTTCAATAAAGTAGTTACCAAACAGTGTCAATGAAATATTATACATTTGATAAAGTATATTAAATGAACCTCGAGTTGTCGATTTAAACACTTCCGATTCCTGTAATCTAAAAGTTATGCTATTAACTGAAGATTTGAGCTTTAGAACGACTTTACACACAGGTGTTTGAATGGTGGCAAAGCCACATCAGTATCTGTATGACGATCCAAAAACATAAAAGCATGTTGTTCGTAATGAGACTAATAAATATAAGTGGTCACTCATTTCAACGCAACACAGAACCTGGCACATCTATCTCGGTCTCAGTTATCATAACCTACTGGGACAGGGAAACTGTCTGGGCAAATTTGAGTAGCAAAAATAGTAACAGTATTAGCGAAAGTAGAAAACACTAAACATTGAAGACACGGTGCGAAGAATATAATTTAATGAGATAAAAATATATTCAAAGCTGGAATCTAGGGGGAAAATGGGTTTATTCTGTAGGAAACTACCAAAATCATCGTGATATATGGATTTTATGGGATGATTACCAATAGGGCTAAGCTAGGTGTTTATCTTGAACATTTACAGGTAGAAAACCGGTAACATCGACGGAAAAGAACACACCGTATCAAATAAATCATTTTCCACGGTCTACGGGACTTCATCAGGAAGCAAGACTTTACAACGGGAGACAATACACATACGTAGAATTTTTGAATTAAGACAAGGGAATAATTAGAGTTGTATTTGTTTGGGATTTATCATCAAATATTTATCAGCAACGAAACAGATTTTGCAACTCGTTTGATACAACAGCCATTGTATAGCCAGAAAATATCACACATACTATGCAACAGTAATGATAACGGCATTTATGGAAACAAATAACTTGCTGAACATGGCACAACATGGTTTTAGAAAGGGTCTATCCTGTACAACGAACCTCCTTATAGCTAGGGATTTCTGGATTAATGCGCTAGACAACGGAAACTCAGTGGATGTTGTCTACATAGACTTCAGTAAGGCTTTTGACAAGGTGCCAACTAATAGACTGCTATTGAAGTTGGCAAACCTTGGTATTGTCGGACCTCTTTTAAAATGGATTAAGGATTTCCTAGTAGGTCGTAGGTAAAAAGTAAGAATAAATTCCAAGTGCTCCATCTGGAGACCAGTACTTAGTAGAGTACCCCAAGGTTCCGTCTTGGGTCCTTTACTTTTTATAATGTACGTTAATGATCTTACAAGTACAGTACAGTCTCCAATGTTATTATACGCTGACGATGTAAAAATTTGGCGAGTAATAACTGGAGACAAAGACGCATCCCGACCGAAGCTGCTACCTTGACGCGGTGGTCGGGCTTGCCTATCGTGATGACCCAACCGAGCTATATTGGCTGGAACATATGTTCCTGTAGGTTCTACCATGCCAGGCAGGTCGATTGGTGAACGGTAAGACTAAAAGCAGCAACTCAAGGTCTGAGGGCGAAGTCGTACTGCTGACTGTAGAGGGGTGTGACAGCAGTAAGGTGTTTCCCTCAGACAAACAGCATGACAGCGATGCTGCCTTCTCACAAGGAGGGGTGTGGTTAGAAAAGGTCGACCCTAAAAATGTCACACCTCACCTTACCTCACGGATTTCCGTCTTCGGCGGTAAGGCCCTTTGAAGAACGGAGCTAACACGTCAAAAATCTACCACAAAAAGGCCGTGCGCGACCGGCCTCAAGCAGTTGTCCCTTGGGCTCTGCGGTCACGCTCCCAGGTCGTCAAGACCAACATTAATCCAATTTCCTTTTCAGGTTCCTCAAGAAATACCCTTCCACGGTGTGGGCAGCCGGGAAGTGACATCAGCCCTCATACCCGTAACAGCACACGAGACCAAGTTGGTCACATTCAAATCCTTCCTACACCTCCTAATACCTCTCTTATCTCTATGACTAACCCTCCTCACGTCTCTTTATCACCTCGCACCGCTAGGACAAACGATTCGAGTACGTGGAACTCTATTCCTGGTCTCCTGAAACCACGCTCTAAACTACACGTAGGAGCTTTTAACGTTCGAACACTGTGCCAAATAGGACAACAGGCTTCCTTAGCTAGGACTTTAGAATCCCGCGCCATCGATGTGTGCTACGTCTCCGAAACGCGCATACAGGATCCGAGTAGCGTCATTCATCTGACCTCACCATGTCAAAATAAAGAACCAACTCGATTCACACTTCGTGTATCTGGAAGCCCTGATTCTGCTTCGCGTGGCCTCGCCGGCGTAGGTATAGCATTGAGTCCCAGAGCAGAACTAGCTCTCTTAGACTGGATCCCAGTAGACAGTCGTTTGTGCGCTGTCCGACTGAACGGAACAGTAAGAATCCGGAAAGGTAGGGACACTCGTCGTTGCCACTTCGTCGTTTCAGCCTATTCTCCCACTGACTGCAGCTCAGATTATGTAAAAGATGAGTTTTACAGAAAGCTTTCCGACCTTCTCCGAAAAGCTAGGCGCTCGGATGTAGTAATAGTGGCCGGTGACTTTAATGCTCAAGTAGGTAAACTAAGCGATAGGGAAAGACACCTAGGTGGATCTTATAGTGCCATGGCTCAAAGAACAGATAATGGCGACCGTCTGTTGCGGCTATGCTCAGATAACCGCCTGTTCCTTGCAAATACTAACTTTAAGCATAAGGAAAAACATCTTTTAACATGGAGACCCCCTAATTCGTCCCAACGTCGGACCCAACTAGATCACATCGCTATCAGCCACCGATGGAGGGGCTCGATAGAAGACTGTCGCTCATTCTGGAGCACATGCTTAGATTCAGATCATGCTCTAGTGTGAGCGCGTATTTGCTTGCGTCTTACTGGACGTAGGAAAGACGCTGCAAGGAAACCTCTTAGGGGTCTACTTAATGATAGTCAAGCTAAGAGTATATTTCAGGAACAACTAGGAAAACAGTTAAGCAGCCATGTATGTGATGCCCACCCCGATGCAGCTTGGAATGATATCCGAAAAGCTGTGGAAACAGCAGTGATATCTGCTAGTAAGGTAAACCACAAGGTTAGGAAACGACACTGGATCTCAGCAGCATCTATCGCACTGATAGATGCTCGGAAACTCATTCCACCTGGCTCTGAACATAGTGAAGAGCGGAGTCAGCTTAAGCGCAAGCTGACAAGAAGTCTACGCAATGATCGCGAACAGTGGTGGGTAGCGAAAGCAAAAGAGATGGAAAAGACAGCGGCAATAGGTAATAGTAGACAATTGTTCAGACTCGTTAAGGAAACCGGAATTAGGAACCCGACCGTTAGCGAAACAATCTCAGAGAAAGATGGACATATTATTCATTCTCAATCCAGGAGATCGGATCGATGGGCAGAACACTTCAGGGGTCAGTTCAACTGGCCTTCAGCCACACTTCGGTTTCCCACGATCTCCAGTCAACCTGAATGGCAAGTTAATGTAAGTCCTCCGTCCCTTTACGAAGTTGAAAAAGCCATAGGAAATCTGAAACGAGGGAGAGCAGCAGGCCCTGACAGGTTTACTCCTGAAGTTTTTAAGGATGGTGGTCCAGTATTAGCAATGAGATTAACCGAGGTCTTAGGTAGAATTTGGGAACTGGACGTAATCCCATCTGACTGGTCTCAATCACTGATTGTGCCAGTTTATAAGAAAGGACAAAAGTCCTCTTGTGACAATCACAGAGGAATCAGTTTGACTAATATAGTGTCTAAAATATTAGCCTCAATAATACTTCGACGCCTAGCCAAAGCTCGTGAAGAGCAGATTAGAGAAAACCAGGCCGGTTTTCGACCTGGACGTGGTTGTATAGATCAGATATTCACACTACGTCAGGTTCTAGAACACAGACACACGTCTAGGCGCCCCACAATGGTAGTATTTCTCGACCTTAAGGCGGCATTCGATTATGTTGATCGTGAGGTTCTATGGCAGTGTTTGTCACTGAAAGGAGTACCAAAGAAGTACATTAACCTTATTCAGGCTCTCTACTCGAACACAACTGGTAGAGTGAGAACTTATGGCGAACTGTCATCAGAATTGATTACCTCAAGTGGTGTTCGTCAGGGCTGTCCACTTTCCCCGTTCTTGTTCAACTTTGTGGTCGACGTACTTTTAGAGATGACACTCTCCTCATCTAAATTTCCAGGGGTTGAACTTCTACCAGGAGATTCACTTTTTGACATAGAATATGCCGATGACAGTTCTATTTGGTGAAGACGCTGACAAAATGCAGAGTCTTCTGACCACTCTGAGCAACAATGCAAGCATGTTCATGATGCGATTCTCTCCCTCGAAATGCAAAATGTTGCTTCAGGATTGGGTTACATCGACACCCGAACTAGTGATAGGGAGTGAAGTAGTTGAGTGTGTCGACCGCTTCACTTATCTTGTAAGTCTCATCAGCCCTTATGGTCTGGTATGTGACGAAATCTCAGCACGGATACAGAAGGCTCGACTAGCTTTTACCAACTTGCGTCATTTATGGCGTAGGCGAGATATCCGTCTATCAACCAAAGGACGTGTTTACTGCGCAGCAATTCGTTCCGTCCTACTTTATGGCTGTGAAACATGGCCGGTAAGAGTAGAGGATATTCGTAGGTTACTAGTATTCGATCATAGATATCTTCGAAACATTGCTCGTATATCATGGGACCATCGAGTAAGTAACACAGTTGTTAGGAAACGGGTACTAGGTAAGGATGGCAAATCAATTGGTGAAGTGGTGAAACTTCATCAGTTGAGATGGCTGGGACACGTGTTACGTATGCCCAACGACCGACTGCCTCGACGTGCGATGTTCAGTGGTATAGGAGTAGGTTGGAAGAAAGCTAGGGGCGGCCAGACCAAAACATGGCACAAATCCATGAAGTCACTGACAAGTGGTCTGAGTCATGTTGGTAGGTGTAGACTACCTGGTTGGGGACCGCGAGATGATAGCAACCGATGGTTAGAGACCTTGAATGACATGGCTCAAAATCGTTTGCAATGGCGCAGGTGCATCTACTCTTTGTGTTCTCCCAAATTTTGATCTCCTGATTCCCCCTTGTCTCTTTTTTTCTCTTCCCAAGTTTATTTCATTGTATTATACTCTTTAAGTAACATCTCCAAACACTAATCTTTCCGATTGCTGCTTATACTCTTATTACCTCTACCACTATGGAATTTGAATCGACCACGGCATCTCTGTGCTAATGTGGTGTGGCAACTCGAACTGATGTACGTACGTACGAAGTTCTACGTTGTTACTGACTGACTGACTGACAAAGACGCATTTACTCTTCAGGCGGACTTAAATAATATGATAAACTGGTATAAAGAGTGGCTGATGCCTGTCAACTCGGAAAAGTGTCTGCATGCACTTGGGGGATTCAAAGGTTAATACATACAACATAGGGATGGGTCATTACCCGTAGTCCGGTCTCATAAGGATCTAGGGGTGACAGTGAGCAATGATCTTAAGACGAAGGCCCATTGCCGGGAGGTCGCAGTCAAGGGGTTTCGAACCCTCTGGGTTTTAAAAAGGACATTCACTAAGTTTGATACTACTATGTTTACCACATTACACACATCCTTAGTGAGAACTAAGTTAAAGAACTGTGTTCAGGCTGCAAGCCCCGGTTTAAAAGGTGACTCAGACATACTAGAAAAAGTGCAGAGGGCAGCTACGTGTGCAATTCCGGAACTCCGGGGTTTATCATATAAAGAGCGGCTTGAAAAACTGAACCTCTTTACTCTGTCCTATCGCAGACTAAGGGGAGATCTAATATTGATGTACAGAATACTGAGACATGATTTCGGACCTAACTTATTCTCTCTCTTTCTTCCCATTAGATCGGGACACCTCAGAGGACATAGCAGGCGAGTAGAAAAGCCAAGAACGAACAAAATACCCGTGGCATATAGGTTTTCACACCGAGTCATCAATACTTGGAACCTGCTGCCTGAAGCAGTGGTGTCCGCACCTTCAGTTGACTATTTCAAGAGAAGACTGGACACTCACAGAAGCATACTAGAAAAGGAATAACATAGGCCGTAGGCCTTCTGTCCTTACTACACAAATCAAATTTGAATCTAATTCGCCAAAGGAATTTTGACAAAAATCTCGTTAAGGCTAATAAGAACCTAAATAACGACTGTTACTATTTTAATAACAAATGAGACTAGGACCTGTTCGGTTTAAATCAGTTTAACCATCTTACTCGTCGATTGGGTAAAACCTGTTTTCGAAAAAGTCGTCTATACGTTTCAGAGCTTCGAAGTTCGTCCCACACATGATCCCCGAACCACACACGACCAAAATGAATCCAATTAGAGAAACAAACGGTACACGTTCTAGACAACCATCTGAAATGAAATCCGAAAATTGTGAGGAATTTCTTACCCATTGTCTGACAACATGCAAAAGATTGAAGTCTACCCGTCCCAACAACAAACGTCCTTGATCGGAACACACCGCCAACACTTAATATTCCAACGAAGAACTAGCTATCACTAAATTAAATCTGCGAACTAACATCTCGATGTAAAAAAGCGATCTTTTTGAATTTAAATAAAACCTTGAAAAGTTAGACTTTCCTTGCTCATGGTTCATTTGTCACTTACTCAAAAGTGAGTTGTTGAGAATGGAATATCAAATGGTTCAAATGGTTGTGGACGGAATAGAAGAAGCTTTCGCTTAACAGGCTTCCGTATCTAGTAGCAGGGGATCATCAAATCCTCCAGGCAGGAACCTAGGTATGTTAACGATAAAAGAGGAAAAGAAATTAGTAAATCATAGTGTGATACTATCTTTAGTCCTTAAGAATAGATCAAGTTGCCTCTTAAAGGACTCCTGAGAAGTCGCTTGAACTAGCTCGGCCGGCAGCGAATTCCAGCATTTGACAACTCTTAAGGAGTAGAAGTTGTGTCTACAGTCCGTTCTGCTTAAGTAGGTGTTTGAAAGGATGTCCAGAAGTGTTAAGGATACTGTAAGCCATTAGAAGGTAACCTTTAAGAACTCTATACTCTAATGGGTAAAAGTTAAGTGAATGGATGCGCTCTTCGTAAGGTTTAAATTTGAGTCCTCGAACTGATTTCGTGGCTCACCGTTGGATACTTTCAGAGTGTCCTTATTCTTTTGGAGTGAGGGGGGAAATACTATGTTCCGTACTTTAAATGGGGACGGATAAAACTATTGAAGATTACATGGAAAGTTCTTCCGTCAAACTGGCCAAAAATGCACTTCGATGCTACCAGTGCAAGGTTTGCTCGAAAGGCATTTTAGTCACAGTTAGCATAAGACTTTAAATCGTAGGGCACCAGGATTCCTAAATCTTTTTCGCCTTGGGATACTATTAGAGAGGAGTTTCCTAAGTTATAACTGTAGTCTGAGACATGACGCAAATGGAAGATAATCTCGTCTACTGGGCTTTTTCGTGAGCAGAGATTAATGGTTTTGTGTCTTTATCAATATATTGGTGAACAAAAATAATTAGAGATGAGCAACCTTAAGGCCTCAGCTCCTATTTTATCCCGTCAGCTTATCAGTCGGCAAATATAAATATTTGACTTCTGTTCTATAAATTAGGCTATGAATTTAGAAGTTCTGGCATTCTATTTGATGTCAGTTGGAAATAAAATCTCTGATTTTGGCTACAGGCGGTTAATATGAATTTGATCTAAGAACAGCTTCTGTTGTAGGGCCAGTGAAACGTCACTGAGCCCTAGCCAAATCATACGGCGGTTGAGTCACGAAATGTAGAACAGATCGTCAATCCCTGCCAAGGTCAAGGACAACCGACGCGCATTACTTAATCGTACGCCATGGGACAGTGGTCTTACTTTCGCTTGTATCTACTTTAACTAATATATTTCTGTAATAACGTCCTCTGTGTTGTACAGTCTTCGAGGCATCTATGGTACCTTGATACGTCAATGGGGTAGTCAACGTTAGGTGCTGACCTCGAGGTTTGACTTCGACGTTAACTGGTTCGTCACACCATTCCCATCTATCTCGAGTAGGCCTCCGATCATCTACGTTGGTGATCCACACTTTCATTTCTTACATTTTGCAAAATTTTCTTTATTTTTTACAATCACTGCTACTGAGAATAAACTGTCGTCGAAGTTTGATATCTGGTATTTTGTCACACGCTGCATGATACACTGATCATTGTTCTAAAATTGGACAAATACCTATGCCGCGAATTGATACCATTCATGTATCTACCACGCTGACAGACTGCTAGCACCATTATTGCTTAGGGCCCTTTGAAATGTCACTGACTGTCAATGATTTACAGCACACAAGGTCTGGCTGGCTGTGAAGCGAATCAGAAACTTTGAGACTTTACTCGCTAGTTCATTTTGTTTCCCTTATTTTCACCTAAATAGCCAAAGCATTCCAATGTTCATATTTATAGGTATTATTGTAATTGTTATCATGATTGATCTGCTGACGCATTGGATGCTCTTTTCCAACTCTGTTTTTTCCTTCTCGCCAAATTTTATTCTAAGGCATAGTGTCCTGTATTGCACTTAGATAAACTAAATTTTCAGGTGAATTTTATCTTCACCATGTACATATGAACCATACAAATTGATACTTTGCACTTCGAAGGTGCGAAGCACATACCATACCTACGGACACTGATTGCCAACTGATTAAGTGCGGACTGCATGGCTTGGGCATTATCGCACAGTAAGATAACATCATCCGCATGCTCAAGGTCGGGAAGCCTTTCTCAAGGCAACAGATCCACACCGCCATTACTTACATCCATCAGAGCTGTTTCCAGAATGTTATCGATGGCAAAGTTGGAGAGGAATGGTGAGATTGAGCAACCTTGTCTAACCCCAATGCTTGGATGGAACAATGAAGAAAGGTGGCTGTATGCCCTCACTCTACCCAAATACCATGATATGGCCGAGAGTGGGGTGAGCCCGCCCTCCCTCTCGAAATGCTCTCACACGGCCACGCGTATGCAGCCCCTGCCAAGGAAGTCCCACTCACTGCCTTCTCGTGGCACTACTGTTGTTTACGAAAATGAGAGGACGAGAAGCGAATGTCGGGCGCTTGAACCGGATCTCGAACCAATGGTGCACATGGGCTCCAGTATCCTGAAGGAACAAATGGTGTATGAACCAATCGTTGGTCACCGGCTACCATGGGACTACATCTCCTTACGATGCTCCATTGCCCTGTGGATCAGACCTTCAAGTCGAAGGCTCCGGGTGTGGTTCCCTAAGGAAACTACCTGCTTCGGTCTGGGCACCCGCGCAGTATCACAGCCCTTACACAAATATAATGAAAATGACGATATTTACTGAAAATTCTATTCACGCTTCGATTAACAGTCAAACAATTTACGTCATTTATTCACTCTTTTATTCCCACTTCATATATCCCTATTTTTCAACTTATACAGTAGCTCTTCTATGATGGGAACTCGGTTCTATCTAGACGTTCTCGAGTCACCTTCCGGTTGAAAATTGTGTGTTACCACCGAATATGAGTACTGAAGCAGTTTTCCTGAAACCACGTGCACCATTCAAACTGGCTGCCTTCAACGTTTGTGCACTTATGCAGGTTGGACAATAGATAGGGCTGGCTATGTCTTTGGGAATTCTTACTATCGACGTTTGTTGTCTATCCGAAACCCGTATTCAGGACTCTGGTGAAATACTACAAATTCGCTCTCCATCTGCCGCTTCGAGAAGCTTTTTTTACGAGCGCTTATCCGGGGACCCTGTGGCATCTCCGACTGGTCTTGCTGGTGTTGGCGTCGCACTAAGCGCCAGATCTGAGGCAGCACTAATCGATAGGATCCCCATTATCTGTCGGTTATGTGCTGTTAGATTAGAGAGTTTCATCAGAGTGAGAAGAAATCGACGTGAGAAACGATGTCTTTTCGTCATCTCCGCCTATGCTCCGACAGATTGCAGCCCGGATGCAATCAAGGATGAATTCTACCACCAGTTATCTGTTCTTCTCCAGAAAATGCGTTCGACAGATATCGTGGTACTAACCGGAGACTTGAATGCTCAGGTCGGGCGTCTAGGCACAGAAGAGAGTCGTTGGTCGCAGGATAAATAACGGGGACCGTCTACTACAACTGTGCACAGGCCACAACCTGTTTCTGGTTAGCATTAACTTTCGGCACAGTCATCGCCGACGTGCCATCTGGCGTCTTCCCTCTGCATCTCGAGCCTGGACTCAGATTGATCACATCGCGATCAGCTACCGCTGATGTGGTTGTGTACAAGACTGCTGCTCCTTTTGAAGTACCTCTCTGGACTCTGATCATGCCCTGGTCTGCGCCAATCTTAGTTTACTTTTCAGTGGACAACGAAGTGACCACCACCAAAGGATTGATGTTAGCAAGCTTGGTGCAACTTCTGTTGCTAATAAGTATCCAATCGAGCTAGCTTCTAGGCTAGCTACCATTCCACCGAAAAGTATAGATGAGCATTGGTTTCAACTTCATGACGCCATGAAAATGGTGACTTCCTGGCTAAGGAACTGAAGACGTTGTTTACAAAGGTCTGAGAGCTAGAGAGTGTTTCATCATCGATGTCTCCGAAGGATTGCTGACATCCAGTGGCAACACCATGTCAGTAATGCAGAGGTTCGGCATCGTGTATTCGGGCGCAGAGACGAAAATGTAATCGGTGTCACCATCTTGAAACATCGACTTCGGTGGCTTGAACATGTTCTACAAATGTCGTCCCAGAGAATTCCACGTCGTACATTGTTTGCGGACACTGGGACTGGCTGGAAAAAGCGGAGAGGTGATCAGTGTTTGACATGATGTCGTGATATGAAAGAAAGTTGTAAAGGGCTGGCTTATGTTGGTCCTTCCCAGACCGAAGCAGTTGGTTTCCTTAGGGAACCTCCGTTCAGATAAAAACGACCAATGTCTTATGGTGCTCTGTCATTTGTCCGTCAAGGACTTGACAGACTGGAAACACTAAGCGCCAATCAGTCAGAAAATTGTTCACCGTGAGCTACTGTCGTAGCAGTTGTATGGTATGCAAAAAGGTCTGTTGCGGGACGTCGAGTCGCGGTCGACTATGATCATCACTACAAGAAGACTACGTGTCAGTTAACCGATAAGATCTATCGTAAGTCAAATATCAGAAGGCAGTTGATGGCTGTAGTCAAGATGTATTTGTTGGTGATCTCATGGTATTGAAAGGATACCGAGATCGCGCCGGGTTACATGTGTGGTTACTGAGTGTAACTGAATTTGCGAAAGGGTTACAATCAATGGAAGAATGTATGTTCTTATTACAGTTAAACAAACATGTACAGTAAAATAATCACTGGTACGAGTGGTTATAATGATAATTGTATCCATCAAACCAATCGCGTTCTCTTAAGAAAAGTAGGTCACTACAGGTCTGTTGACATATCTGGTTTAGGTGCGAAAAATTCTTTTGGTTCATGTTCAGTGCTATGGTGAGATATCAGTGGGAACTTCATTTCAAAAGCTTTGGAAAAAGAATTAAGAATTGGCTACTACATAAGGGAGGATCAGACAAAACTGATTGCCATCAAAAAGAAAAAGTCTACTATTACACATAGGCTTTAAGACTGGATGAATTGCACATTATATCGTGATTGATTCATCATTTCCCAAGTGTAGAAGTATCCATTTGAAAGAATAGTTAAAGCGACCAATTGTGTGCATGAATCACCTTAGCATCAATTAGCAACAAATGCTCTGAATATTTTTTATGATTTTATTACCCTGTAACCTGAATCTTGACACTCGAGTTGTTTATCATTCTTTTAAATGGTTAATAAATGACTTTGTATTTTGTTTACATTACATAATCGCTCTCATATTTTTAATCATTCCTTTGTAACCATATGACACATTGTTTAACCAAAATATAGACTTCATATGGACATTACTTAACGGATGTATGTGTTATCAGATTGTTCTACGTTATAGATCCTATACACCTCTAACAATAATTGGTGTATCTATAAAAATAATTTTCCAGATTCATAAACACAACTTGATGTGGCATAATGTTGGTAATGATCTACGTAGTCAAGTTATGTATGTAGAATCCAAACTATGGTTTGGATGCTGAAGAATAGCATATCAAATGGATTAGACACGCGCCCTTGCCCGTCAAAATCAAAACAATTAGTCAGGTAAATAGCGATTCTAAACAAATATTACCACCCGAATATTCGACCAATAATTGTTCAATCAATCAAATCAGTCGCAGCAAATGAACGTTATTCTATCCTGACTGGACAGAACACACACAAAAGAAAAAACAAATCAATATGGCTGCCGCCAAGAACAAGTGTCAAGTAAAACAACACAGATGCAGTTCGGGAAGAAACACAAAACTTAGTGAAGGCGTAAAAAAAACATAAACTATAATAAAAAATACAAATATTAACAATTCAAACGTAATCAAAAGACAACAATGTGCAACTAAGGGGATCAATAGGAACAAAGTGCAAGTATATACATGGAGGGATTTTCACAAACACACAAAGCATTCATATGTATTATGATCAATTGTGTTCAAGAAAATTCCGACCTCATCACCTTACTTATTCTTTTGTCAGCCATTCTTGAAATGACATAACGTTAAATTGGGGAACTTGTGAAAATAGATATTCTGTTGGATGTTAACTATTGATGACATTTGGAATAACGCCCTCCTGAACAGAACAAAGTTTGTCAGGGATCTGCGATCTAGCAAAGCAATTCATCGATAGCATCTTTTCTATTACACGGTCGTTTGACTCCAATATGCCATACTTAAATCGTTTGGATGAACGTATGATTGAATTATTCTGTTGAAATGTTTGTAAATAATGAAGATATTGAGAATGCCTGAATATATTTGAAAGTATTTGAAGAAATCAAAATTAATATTTGAAGTTGTTATTTGTTTTATCTGTTGCAAAAGTCATTCGATAGTGTGCATAACTATCTAGTCAACCTAGACTATTATGTCCATATCGTAGGAATTATGAATCTCAATGGATGACTGAGTGTACGGATATGGGAAGGATGAAAGACAAGAGATGGGTGTGGACTTATGCTTATCGGGTTGTAGCAATTTGGCTAAGTGAAAATTTTTCCCAATTTACTCAGTCTATGAACAAACGAAACTACGTAAACACTAGATCCATGTACGGGAGATTCTGAAGTATATTTGGGAATACTGGAATATTCCCATATATCGACATCCGTCAACTCGGCATGCCAATTATTCCATCATAAACCGATTGATGTTTAACCACCACCTTTGGAAACCTGGAAACACTGGACAGCCGTTTCGTCCTATCGTGGGACTCCTTGGCAGTGCACATTCACGGGGGCCGAGCCAATCAGAAACCAAGGCTTTTCTTACGTGTTCGCGCGTCCTTGGTCCGGTCAATAGTTCGCTACTCTTTAATCAGCAGCATTTTTCACGTTATAACAATTTCGAAACATTCGCAATTCTTACTCGTATAGTATCCACACTCCAAAATCCAGAGTAATCACTGTCTAAATAATGGACATTAAAAATGGAACCGTTTGGTCTGTAAGTGGATGATTTCGAGCTGTCGTAAAATGAAAACATCCAACAAAATATATCAAGAAACCAACACTTCCTTGAAGCGAACTATGTGTCAGTGGATTCTGTATCAAACAATACTCGTAGCTTTCGAGGTGTAGATCTATAATGTTTCGAATTATTTGAATTATAGAACGAACTAAGAGTCCAAGAAATAACGCAATTGAATTAAGAAGACAGGCACAAACGAATGTACTGTTTTTGGAATTCGAAATCAAGCCATCAACATGTACCAAAAGTATCACTAGTCAATTCAAACACCACATCCGCCACAGCTTAAATAGAAGTATAAGTGTTTGCAATCGGTTGTATGTTTTCTTGTTAAGTTCATCCTGAGTCTGTCGGACATTGTACTAGATGAAAACTTTGTAGTATCTAGAATGTGCTCATTAGTATGGGAATTAACAAACGAAATCGGAACAGACTCACCTGGAATTGTATACAATCAACATATCGGTTTTGTACTGAAATGACTCATATCTCGAATTAGAACCATAGATTTTTCAACGCTATCCCCCCCACGAAATAATGTTAGGTCTTTATATTCCCAAGTTATGAATAATGTGGCTTCATTTAAAACGTATTTCTCACATTGATTAGAGCAAACATTGGAAGTGTTTTTGTAATAAGGATGAACAACAGTTGATATGAAATCATCAGAATTGTAATCAAAACCGAGCTCATTTAGTATTCGTGCTTTGCATTGAACGATTTTTTTCACAAGGAGCAAATGCATTATGAGGATAGGTAATACATATGACATCAGGATTTGATTCTACTGAAATATTTTCATGAAATTGACTAAGAATGTCATTGCAGAGCAATGGATCATTAGAAAAAGTAGCATCTATCATGACTGCCTCAGGTTTTTGATAATGAATAGGTTCATTTAACATATTATCCTCAGATTTGTAAGAAATTTCATCAGAAATATGTGAATCATTAGGAAAAGTCATACCTGGTACAATAGCATGAGAATTCTGATAAATCGGTTGATTAGGAACTGTTGTCTCACAAGAATTCTGGATTTCATCTAACTCTGAACTGCTTTTTGCCTCTACACTGTCTATTGCAGTAGTTGATAAAGATGAATCATCATTATAAATACTCGACTCAGTAGAATCAGAATTACAAAACTTAATATTAGTTGCAATAACATGAACATTAGTATTGCAGACTGACAGAATATGTTCAATATCACAACATTTAAAGCATTTAGAATTACGAAATTTACATGAATTAAAAGCATGGAACTTGCCACAGGACAAACATTGACCAAACTTGCGCCAGTCTTCGTGAAACGCACTGTAACTCCTCAATGAATTATCTCCATAACCTTGAGTATGCACTGGATTGGGATGACGTGATGTAGTAGAATTTTCGATGTCCTGATGAATTATTTTGGGAAATTTCCCTTCTTTACTGCAATCAAAATTTGCATACTTGACATAGTCTAGTACTAATTCCTTGAGAGTTGTATAAGGAAGCGAAATGGGCTTTTCCGGCATAGCCAGAGTTCTTAATAAACTGTATGCTTCTTTACCGATGAATGTGAGGAAATATGCCACAATATTAACATCCTCATCATCTTCCTTGGTCATGACCCAGATTTCGAACCTTTCGAAATAATACTCAAGAGATTCAGAAGATGAATGAATGTCTAACTTTTCCATTGCAGGCTCAATCGCGACGACAATATAATGTTTCGAATTATTTCAATTATAGAACGAACTAAGAGTCCAAGAAATAACGCACTTGAATTAAGAAGACAGTCAAAAACGAAAGTACTGTATTTGGAATTCGAAATTGTGCAATCATCACGTACAAAAGTATCACTAGTCAATTCAAACAACACAAGATCACACTGATACATTGTCGTAATTTTGATACACATTAGAAGCTGTTCCCATCATACAATGATTCACAGATTAAAAGTGTGTTTCCTTAGTAATTCGAACCATTTTCTTGGTGATAATAACGCACATTAAACAAGTATCGAATTACTACTAGTAATCAGGTTTGTTTATAGTCAATCTTCTGGTTAATTTGATACATCTTTGTCAATAAAACATGATGAAAACAAAATAAAAATGACATCAACATCACTGCAATTCAGCGTACTCAAACCGATTTCAATGATTCTATTCATAATTGTCGGTTTCCTACCATATTTGTATGGTGAGATTGTGAGAATTCCTCTCCACCCTGTGAGAAGATCTGATTCATTGCTGGGACTTGGTGCAACTTACTTTAAGCCTTTGACGAGAAAATGGAAGTATGAATGGAATAAGCAGAATACATCTACGTCGGAACAATTGATTAATTATGAAAACGTAAGTGTATCAATCATGTTCATAGTATGAAATCCAACGTAATGTATATCTAATAAGCAACACGAAATATGACGACTTTCCTTCTTGTGAATTAGATTTGGTCTGATATTTTGTGTGTGAAATAAAATAAGTGGACTATTTTCCAAAAGTAACCACGATGACACAGCGACGTAGAAGTGTAAGTTATGGTGTTTAACTGTTGAAGTATGCCTGTGAAAATCGATACAACGCAATATTGCTCATAGATATAATTCTCAACAGGCAAAGTATCATAGATTCATGGAAAAATCCGGCAATTTAATCACCGATACAAATAACAAAATATCATGATCAGAAGTGCATATTATCTGAAAGTTATTTCAAATGAAAAGAATTTTTAAAGTATAGAAAAATATTTATTATTTGCATATCACACTGTCTAAATTTTGAATGCGAAATAATCTTTTAATTTAGCTTCAGTATTATGGTGAGATATCAGTGGGAACTCCACCTCAAAAGCTACGAGTATTGTTCGATACAGGATCCACTGACACATGGTTCGCTTCAAGGAAGTGTTGGTTTCTTGATATATTTTGTTGGATGTTTTCATTTTACGACAGCTCGAAATCATCCACTTACAGACCAAACGGTTCCATTTTTAATGTCCATTATTTAGACAGTGATTACTCTGGATTTTGGAGTGTGGACACTATACGAGTAAGAATTGCGAATGTTTCGAAATAAGATACCGTTACAGATAAACTCGTTGGAGATTCGGAATCAAGCGTTTGCTGAAGTGAGGAGTATATTTAATCTCGATTACTTATCTGATAAATACGATGGAGTAATTGGCATGTCGACTAGACGGTTGTCGAAATATGGGAATATCCCAGTATTCCCAAATATACTTCAGACTTTCCCGAATATGGACCCAATATTTTCATTTTATTTAAGTCAGTGAGTTGTGCAATAAGTCGAGTTAGATTCGTATATATTAAATTCAGATTTTGTTTAATTTAATCATTCGGTTTTGAATATCACTCAAGTGAGCAAATCTTAATTATAATCTATTTCATTTGGTATTTGGTTGACAATGGTTGATCTCAGTGACTATGCATTTGCAACCAGTCAAGATGTTTGAAATACAAGTAGTTCAATATTACTAAGGAAACCAATTTGTTCTGAAGATATATTTCGTGAAAGTTATCTGAGATGATGGATGTTGTTTAGAAGCAATTAAATGGAAACATTGAGACACCACAGCCTTACTCTGTTCGAATTTTATCTGTTTTAATTGTTGTCAAGAAAACATACAAATTCGTCTTGTGTGTATTGCTAGTTATTTGATGGTGAAGTTTCAATTATTCTGATTAACATGTTGACTGTAGGTTCATATTTCCACATCACGTTACGATTTACTAAAAGAAGTGTGACTAATGTCAGTGATAACATCAAATTATAATGTCTCGGCTCACTTAACAATGATTTTAATGCGAAAGTGGATTGATGTATTTAGACGAGCGATTGACAAAATAAACCTTCCCATGGACGATGGAAGTATTGTATTTGTCGACTGTACATTTAATTGTGACTAGAATTCTTTCATTTGATCTTATCTCGTCAATATGTATTCACGTCCTCATATTTTATGCATTCGTATGAGAACATTTTATGTTGTAAATGGTTTTGTTCCAGTTTTATTTGAAATTTATCTTTGAAAAAAATTATTCACTCTTCATTGATCTTCTCATAAATAATGCACTAGTGCATCCCGATGTTTACAACACTAATTTCTTAGTTTTTATGAAAATGTACATTCTGTGAATTTTTGTGAAAGAAGCTATGTCGATCGAATCTGTGAATGTTAAACAAGGACATTTCATAAATACTATTCAATATTTTATGGTTTACTGAACTACTATTTCAGACATTCATTGTTTTAATTCAAAATGATCGGTAATAATGCTTGTCAGGTATCATGTTTGTGTATTCATCAACAAGTACTCCTATTTCTTTTTTTCTGTGTTTGTGTTTTACTTAGTGAATTTTGTTACCTTTTACATGGATAGTGTAAATCGAAACTATAAAATGAGTATAATTTAAATGCCGAACAGTCATGAAACAGGGTGATTATACACTTTGACTTATTCACGTATCAGGTGACACCGTGACAACATTGTTGATTTCAGTTGGTGTGACGTTTCATAGTAATATATTTTTACAGTGGAAATGATATGAATGATAATAAAATGAATTTATTATTTCGTTGTAGGGAAAATGGGACTTCGATCGGTGGTGAAATGGTACTTGGTGGTGTTAATCCTGAATATTTTGAGGGAGATTTGGAATATATGCCGACCGTAAACAACAATACATGGACAGTTAGAATGTCAAGGTAGTGTTTGATCAAGTTCGATTTCAATCACTTTCGGAAAATGCAAATTGGCTTGTTGGAAAGTTTGTTTGGTGGAGTGAAGTTATACATTGTTTTATTTGTCTAAATGAGATGAAGCCGGAAATTCGATATTACTTGAACTGTTTTACGTATTTGCATAACTGAAGAACGTTCGATTTCGAAACTCTTGAGAGATTTTTCCTCGATGGACAATGTATATATATATTTGAATATTGATTTACGAGAAGTGTTTAAAGTAGAGCTAATCTTGTGACTAGGTCTCCATGGTCTAGTACTGTAAGATAGAATTAATGCTTCTTATTGACTACGCTCATGATGAACGTAGTGCATGGTCTGAGTATTTGGGAGTTAATGTAAATCAACGGGCTTCTTCATCAACTTATTACAATAAATCAACATAATTTTTCTTGTTAATGTATGAAATGAGAATAGATCACGTTCATCAAGCTTTATAAACGAATGCCGCAAGATGTGACATGACATCGAATTGATTAATTTTTCCGAAGTTACTATAGAGGATTTCTGTGGTGATCCAGGTAGGAAGGTGAACTTCTGAAATCTACAGAGACTTCCTTTCCTCACCAACTTGAACACACATCAGTCAAATACACTGAGCCAATCGGGTGATCAATTTCTATTCAACGATCATATATCCAACTGAGTTATTAGTCTGAACAGTGCTTCATATTACGGTTACCATTATACTTGTTGACAAGTTGCAATACCTATTTGCGACACAACTTCAGTTATTTGGCAAGCTCACAGGTAAACCTGTTTCAAACGATACTGTGTGAAGTGTTTCCAACTTCTTATTTGAAATGAAAGAACACGGTCACCTTGAAAGTGAAATGTATGTGCTCAATCTGTCAGTGAGTTCAAACTATGACGATAATATTGCAGTTGATTACGCTAGCTACATGAAAGTATTATAATTGAAGATATAATTATTAAGTGAAGATGACTGTAGGATGAATGATACACTGAATGGTTTATAAATAAGTCTGTTCATCATCTAGTCTGGTGTTTCACAAGAAAATTTACAAATCGGTTACATTTATTCAACTTTTCTACTATTTGTATTTTGCTCCTTTCATATCTCTTCTTATTTACAACTGTTATTTTGCAACTACATTAGGTAACGTTATTTGCTTCTGGAATGATTTGTGCTTGTTTGTCAACTCAACCTCGATGTAGTTCATGTATATCGCTAGAATATCACATTTGAAGTGTGATTTTGCTCAGAATTTCTAACAAGTTAACAAGTATTTATGATTTTCATGCAACAAATTGCTAGGGTTGATTACGTTTTTAAACTGTCAATTCAGTTCTTCCCATTTCCATTATTGTTCCTTAGTTATGTTATTGTGTAGTACTTAGTAGTTCATGTTATCAACGGACATTTTTGAACGTGTTTCTCATAGAATCGGTTTATTGGTTCGTGTGATATACCTAAATATTTACAGGTGCGCTAGGCATTTCATCCATTTTATTGCTGTAATTTTGTTTCTTCACAATTCTCACGTAATTTGATTTATTTCACGTGTAGCTCGATGTAATTTAATTTATTTGCAACAACTTCCAAATTTAGCGTTGACTAGCTCTCAGTTCATTTTTCGATGAATGACGTTATTCGGGTTTGTCAAAGGTCATTGATTCTACCTAGTTGATCATTTATTATGCATATTGTTTCGTGTTTGGGTGTTCGGAGGACTGAATTTAACGTTGATTGTGGTATGAGCGGCTACTCATACCTTGAAGTGCTCACGATTTGACGTTTATAATTACTACTGTTCATGTCGTCTTGCCATTATTAGTAACGTATTTAACAGATAAATGTCTTGTTTTGATTTTGGCGTTTCACACGTGACTCATTTGTTTGGTGAGAAATCAGCAGTTACACTGCCTTGAATGCGGATGTCATTAGGAATATCAACACCAACAAACAGACACATTCGTTCAACGAACTGTATCAAGAATGAAATGTATGGTCATTATAAGTCGCCAAACAAAGTTGATTTAAAAAGTGTTTCAATAACCTGATTCAGTGTTCGTTTTTTAAAATAAGCTGCTTTCGTTTATTTTTTGTTAGTTCTACATATTGCTTTTTTAAAATGTTTTGATGTACATTCAGCTTGATGATAAATGATATTGAGTTTTGCAATGGATGTACTGCTTTTATTGATACTGGGACATCAACGATTACTGGTGGAAAAGAGCAAGTAACGAGAATCAACACAATGCTTGGTATTTCCTTTCAATTCGGTAGAAGAAATTTCCTTGACTGTAAACGAATCGACATGCTGCCTCCGATCGAGTTTATCTTTCGTAAAAAGAAGTACATATTGGAACCACAAGATTATGTTATTAAGGTGAATGACTTCTTTAGATCAGTTTAGTTATATATTGTGTATTCAGTGTGTTCACTTTCACTATTTTCAAGTCAGTTCGACGGAAATAAAACTTGCAAAATACAGAGTAATATAATGACTTTAGTTAAACTTATTGTGTAATTCCAGTTATTTAGACGGTGCAACAAATGAATGAGAACTACAAAAATTCCCTTTAGAATGCACACATGTTAGAGGTTTCAACAATAATATCATTGTTAACAACGTGTATAATATTTTCTGTACGAACAAACATTTCTTGTACAATGTAAAATTTACTAGTCGAACCGCTTCTCCTAAATTCAAGCTGAATCCATGTGTATAGATCCAACTTTTCTGATAGCGAACGATCACCAGATATTTGAAATTTACTAACTGTTAAGGACAGTTAATTATCTGATTAAAGTGAAGCTGGTAACGTTAGCTTTCAGTGTATAATGTGTTAATAGAAGTTGTAATTGACAAGGTAGTAATAGAGAGTTTACTACTTAATAACAGTTTCCTTTCTTTGCAATGGGAAATGCAAAACTGTTTACTAATCGAAATACTTTCCTACGTTTATAATTGATCCTAGAAAATTTCACTAAAAGAGAAGTTGAAATTGATATTTAAATAACTCAATATGAACTATTGTTGTGGTAGAAAATATGAACTACACACTTTCACACTCACAGATAAATTATACCATTCTATAACTGTGAAAGCAAATAACAGAAGAGGATAATAAGCATCTAGTCTTTAATCCTTTTAAAAAATACTATTTTAACTAATAAGAACAAAACAATTTACTTCTGTATTGTTGTTTTCCTCATTTGATTACAGGAGGACTTTTGGTTTAAAACAGTGTGTTCGTCACCTTTTGACATTGATGATTCTTTACCACCGAATTTTTGGGTTCTCGGTGACGTTTTTATGAGAAGATTCTATACTGTATTTGATTTCGGTCAGAAACGTATTGGATTAACTTATGTTTTAAATAAGAAGAATGAAACGAGAATTTAATTAAACAGTAATATGTTGCTAAAATATAGAAATTACAATTGTGTGTACAACAGTGAATGAAATATAAACACAAAATTTATAGCAAACTTGAATTCAATAGATCATCAAGAGATTCTTCAAACTGAGAATTTTTCTTACTATCTATGACTTTTAATTCTGTTAATTACTATGCATTTCGAATATGTGTTTTTATTAGTGTACTGTCAATGTGTTTTCTTGTTTATCACTTACGTATTGAACGTCTGCCTGAATTATATACGAGCATAAATAAAGATTTGTGCTCCGATTTGGCTCTTGTGCCAATCCCTGGTTCATTTGTATGTATATCCGCTTGTTCTGTTTACTAATACCACTGAATTTTGTATTAGAGTCCTTACGTAACGTGAATATCGTGTTTAATAAATAAGTGGTTACACTGTACACGAACGAATTTCAACAAAGTTATGCCTTACAAATGCATTATTACAGTGTATGGGAATGTACATATCCACAACGTAGGCGCGAAACCCACATTTGCATCCTACATACAAATAATGGCTGTTTTATTAATTGTAGTGCTTTTAAAAGCTATGGTAAAGTGAAATAGCTAGTTCTTTGAAAAACATCTAGAATGCATTTCATTCTTACCTTCTAACAGGTGTGGTCCATTATCGTAATCCTCTTCTTTTCCTTCATACATTGCAGCAGAGGAATATTGCACTTACGGGAAAGGAAAATTGACAGGTTGGGATGGTATTGAATCTGCATTTTCATATGAAAATTGACTGAATTGCCCAAATAACCATGAAAAACAAACAGCGTTACTGTGCGATCAGACTCTAAAGATACGTTAACGAAGACAAACGAATTCATCTGATCAGTAGACTATGTAGCTTGAAGAATCGAATCATGTTAACGAACCCCCTGAAGCGAGTTTAGAAAGATGTTTTGCACCTTAAAATTCAACTTATTAGTGTTATTTTCATGATCATTTTCACATTCAACTTCACGGTTTTCTATTTGTTCCCATATATCTAGATATTTTCTAGACAGAAAAGTAGAGCATTCATAAATCACTTGACACGATTTTGTCTGCCGAATAATATAGACGGTAATAATGATTCTTATAATACATTAGAAACAAAATGTCACACCTCATTATCTGAAGTGCGAACCTCTATTAATTATCAAAATACTCAACTAGCATCATTACAAAATCGAAACCGAACTGAGTAAAATCTGTAAGTAATTAGAATTCTCGTTTAGGGTCATGGTATTTTATAGAATATTTTTTTTCACATGGTCATCTACAGTTTACTTCAAGGTTCTTGCTTTCAAATCAAATGACTAACTATTACAAAGGATTAATTAGCACGTGCAACACGCAAAATAAGACTTTATACTCAACAAAACATCCGGCACCTTGCCCATGTAAGTTTAACTCAATCATGGTTGATATTTATAGTAAAGTGTCTATTACCTCAAAGGAACATTTATCATTATTATATAGTAATGTTAATTTAACATCAATACTTAAATCACCTACTAGTATTGCTGGCTATTCACCTTCAATGATCGGTCTAATTGAAGATGCCGGTGATAGTGGTCAATCTCAAATGGGTGGAATGCAGTTTGACTGATGTATGTTCAAACGATTGAATGCAAGCTAACCAAAAATGTAATGTTAGAGGTAGGAGGCATTTTTCAGCAAATTTATAAGAATTTTCTATTGAACAACTGTTATTTTCATGAAATGATAAGGTGCACAATGGAAATGATTACTCTGAAATTCAAGAAGTAAGTAAAACAAACCATTCATACAAGATAAACAAGAATCAGATTACCACAAATAAACAACTTGATTTGCAATATATTGATCAGGTTGCTTGAAGATGTTTATGTCAATAATGGCATGATGAAATAAAACCAGAGTAACACGAACACCATTATCTAGCAGACTATGAATGGGAATTCAATGAGTCTACTCATAATTCTCACGTCTCGACTGCATTTACATAGTGAAATTGTGAAAGTCCCTCTCTACTAGATGTGAAGACGTGCTTCACGATTTGGAGTTCACAACAGTTATTTTATGTCTTCGACGAGAAATCGAGGGAATGAGTGGAAGCATAGAAAATATTACCATAGAAACAACTCGTTAATTTTAGAAATGTACGTGTTACAGTCAGATTGTTAGTCTCAAACTTTCTTTCCTTCAAGTAATGTGAGTTGATCTCATATTAAGTAGATGCCACTCGTTAATATGTGCATGAAATAGACTAAGTGGATGTTTCCCACAGATGTAACTATGATACAGTGATTGTGTAGTAGCTTCAAAGAAGTGTTGGTTTCTTGATATATATTGTTGGAGGTTTTCGTTTAATGATAGCTCGAAATCGTTGACTTATGTAGCAGATGGTTGAAATTTTCATGTCAGTCATCTGGACAGTGATTTCACTGTATTATGCAGTGTGGACACCATAAATTTCTTCAGGGATCTGCGATCTAGCAAAAGCAATTCATCGATAGCATCTTTTCTATTACACGGTCGTTTGACTCCAATATGCCATACTTAAATCGTTTGGATGAACGTATGATTGAATTATTCTGTTGATATGTTTGTAAATAATGAAGATATTGAGAATGCCTGAATATATTTGAAAGTATTTGAAGAAATCAAAATTAATATTTGAAGTTGTTATTTGTTTTATCTGTTGCCAAAGTCGTTCGATAGTGTGCATAATTATCTTATCAACCTAGACTATTATGTCCATATCGTAGGAATTATGAATCTCAATGGATGACCGAGTGTATCGATATAGGAAGGATGAAAGACAAGAGATGGGTGTGGACTTATGCTTATCGGGTTGTAGCAATTTGGCTAAGTGAAAATTTTTCCCAATTTACTCAGTCTATGAACAAACGAAACTACATAAACACTAGATCCATGTACGGGAGATTCTGAAGTATATTTGGGAATACTGGGATATTCCCATATATCGACATCCGTCAACTCGGCATGCCAATTATTCCATCATAAACCGATTGATGTTTAACCACCACCTTTGGAAACCTGGAAACACTGGACGGCCGTTTCGTCCTATCGTGGGACTCCTTAGCAGTGCGCATCCACGGTCCGGCTCGCGGGATTCAAACCAAGAGCCTTCGGTCTCGCACACGAACGCTTAACTAACTGGACCACTGGGCCTGCATCTAATGGTGATAATGTCTAACATCAACTAATCCACGAAACTGCGAGACCAACTTCCGTTGTACTGAGGTAGATACCTGTCTCTACCCGACATGGATTATCTCCACTGGTCACGGATTCTCACTAGAACTCCGATAATTCCCTCACGAAGCTAAACACTAGTGAGCACATGTTGATTACTAGTATGGGGGTTGTGGAGATCGGTTCATGATCTCAATCAAGTACTTAATAATCTCGAAAAACCCTATACTAATATTCCATCCTATTTATCAGATAAGTAATCGAGATTAAATATACTCCTCACTTCAGCAAACGCTTGATTCCGAATCTCCAACGAGTTTATCTGTGACGGTATCTTATTTCTGTTAGGATGTGCAGAAAATTATACCAAAATTTATCATGTTAAATCTAATGGTGGCCTTGGACTTTAAATGTACACTCCCTATTTTTCGATATCTATTTCACTTGTTAAATATTGTACAAATGTTGTTTTCTACTTTATGGTATGATGTGGTCTGATTGATTGTTATAAAAACAGAGTATGTCTGAAATTTAATGATCCATAACTCAGAGGCTGAGACTTGTGTTCTGGACTCAACTGTCTGTGCTAGACATCGAAGCAGGGCCAGTCAGAAACCAAGGCCGTTCTTACGTGTTTGCGCGTCCTTGGTACGATCAATAATTCGCTACCCTTTAATCAGCAGCATTTTTCACGTTATAACAATTTCGAAACATTCGCAATTCTTACTCGTATAGTGTCCACACTCCAAAATCCAGAGTAATCACTGTCTAAATAATGGACATTAAAAATGGAACCGTTTGGTCTGTAAGTGGATGATTTCGAGCTGTCGTAAAATGAAAACATCCAACAAAATATATCAAGAAACCAACACTTCCTTGAAGCGAACCATGTGTCAGTGGATCCTGTATCGAACAATACTCGTAGCTTTTGAGGTGGAGATCACACTGATACATTATCGTAATTTTGATACACATTAGAAGCTGTTCCCATCATACAATGATTCACAGATTAAAAGTGTGTTTCCTTAGTAATTCGAACCATTTTCTTGGTGATAGTAACGCACATTAAACAAGTATCGAATTACTACTAGTAATCAGGTTTGTTTATAGTCAATCTTCTGGTTAATTTGATACATCTTTGTCAATAAAACATGATGAAAACAAAATAAAAATGACATCAACATCACTGCAATTCAGCGTACTCAAACCGATTTCAATGATTCTATTCATAATTGTCGGTTTCCTACCATATTTGTATGGTGAGATTGTGAGAATTCCTCTCCACCCTGTGAGAAGATCTGATTCATTGCTGGGACTTGGTGCAACTTACTTTAAGCCTTTGACGAGAAAATGGAAGTATGAATGGAATAAGCAGAATACATCTACGTCGGAACAATTGATTAATTATGAAAACGTAAGTGTATCAATCATGTTCATAGTATGAAATCCAACGTAATGTATATCTAATAAGCAACACGAAATATGACGACTTTCCTTCTTGTGAATTAGATTTGGTCTGATATTTTGTGTGTGAAATAAAATAAGTGGACTATTTTCCAAAAGTAACCACGATGACACAGCGACGTAGAAGTGTAAGTTATGGTGTTTAACTGTTGAAGTATGCCTGTGAAAATCGATACAACGCAATATTGCACATTGATATAATTCTCAACAGGCAAAGTATCATAGATTCATGGAAAAATCCGGCAATTTAATCACCGATACAAATAACAAAATATCATGATCAGAAGTGCATATTATCTGAAAGTTATTTCAAATGAAAAGAATTTTTAAAGTATAGAAAAGTATTTATTATTTGCATATCACACTGTCTAAATTTTGAATGCGAAATAATCTTTTAATTTAGCTTCAGTATTATGGTGAGATATCAGTGGGAACTCCACCTCAAAAGCTACGAGTATTGTTCGATACAGGATCCACTGACACATGGTTCGCTTCAAGGAAGTGTTGATTTCTTGATATATTTTGTTGGATGTTTTCATTTTACGACAGCTCGAAATCATCCACTTACAGACCAAACGGTTCCATTTTTAATGTCCATTATTTAGACAGTGATTACTCTGGATTTTGGAGTGTGGATACTATACGAGTAAGAATTGCGAATGTTTCGAAATAAGATACCGTTACAGATAAACTCGTTGGAGATTCGGAATCAAGCGTTTGCTGAAGTGAGGAGTATATTTAATCTCGATTACTTATCTGATAAATATGATGGAATAATTGGCATGTCGACTAGACGGTTGTCGAAATATGGGAATATCCCAGTATTCCCAAATATACTTCAGACTTTCCCGAATATGGACCCAATATTTTCATTTTATTTAAGTCAGTGAGTTGTGCAATAAGTCGAGTTAGATTCGTATATATTAAATTCAGATTTTGTTTAATTTAATCATTCGGTTTTGAATATCACTCAAGTGAGCAAATCTTAATTATAATCTATTTCATTTGGTATTTGGTTGACAATGGTTGATCTTAGTGACTATGCATTTGCAACCAGTCAAGATGTTTGAAATACAAGTAGTTCAAGATTACTAAGGAAACCAATTTGTTCTGAAGATATATTTCGTGAAAGTTATCTGAGATGATGGATGTTGTTTAGAAGCAATCAAATGGAAACATTGAGACACCACAGCCTTACTCTGTTCGAATTTTATCTGTTTTAATTGTTGTCAAGAAAACATACAAATTCGTCTTGTGTGTATTGCTAGTTATTTGATGGTGAAGTTTCAATTTTTCTGATTAACATGTTGACTGTAGGTTTAAATTTCCACATCAGGTTACGATTTACTAAAAGAAGTGTGACTAATGTCAGTGATAACATCAAATTATAATGTCTCGGCTCACTTAACAATGATTCTAATGCGAAAGTGGATTGATGTATTTAGACGAGCGATTGACAAAATAAACCTTCCCATGGACGATGGAAGTATTGTATTTGTCGACTGTATATTTAATTGTGACTAGAATTCTTTCATTTGATTTTATCTCGTCAATATGTATTCACGTCCTCATATTTTATGCATTCGTATGAGTACATTTTATGTTGTAAATGGTTTTGTTCCAGTTTTATTTGAAATTTATCCTTGAAAAAAAAATTATTCAGTCTTCATTGATCTTCTCATAAATAATGCACTAATGCATCCCGATGTTTACAACACTAATTTCTTAGTTTTTATGAAAATGTACATTCTGTGAATTTTTGTGAAAGAAGCTATGTCGATCGAATCTGTGAATGTTAAACAAGGACATTTCATAAATACTATTCAATATTTTATGGTTTACTGAACTACTATTTCAGACATTCATTGTTTTAATTCAAAATGATCGGTAATAATGCTTGTCAGGTATCATGTTTGTGTATTCATCAACAAGTACTCCTATTTCTTTCTTTCTTTCTGTGTTTGTGTTTTACTTAGTGAATTTTGTTACCTTTTATTCATGGATAGTGTAAATCGAAACTATAAAATGAGTATAATTTAAATGCCGAACAGTCATGAAACAGGGTGATTATACACTTTGACTTATTCACGTATCAGGTGACACCGTGACAACATTGTTGATTTCAGTTGGTGTGACGTTTTATAGTAATATATTTTTACAGTGGAAATGATATGAATGATAATAAAATGAATTTATTACTTCGTTGTAGGGAAAATGGGACTTCGATCGGTGGTGAAATGGTACTTGGTGGTGTTAATCCTGAATATTTTGAGGGAGATTTGGAATATATGCCGACCGTAAACAACAATATATGGACAGTTAGAATGTCAAGGTAGTGTTTGATCAAGTTCGATTTCAATCACTTTCGGAAAATGCAAATTAGCTTGTTGGAAAGTTTGTTTGGTGGAGTGAAGTTATACATTGTTTTATTTGTCTAAATGAGATGAAGCCGGAAAATCGATATTACTTGAACTGTTTTACGTATTTGCATAACTGAATAACATTCGATTTCGAAACTCTTGAGAGATTTTTCCTCGATGGACAATGTATATATATATTTGAATATTGATTTACGAGAAGTGTTTAAAGTAGAGCTAATCTTGTGACTAGGTCTCCATGGTCTAGTACTGTAAGATAGAATTAATGCTTCTTATTGACCACGCTCATGATGAACGTAGTGCATGGTTTGAGTATTTGGGAGTTAATGTAAATCAACGGGCTTCTTCATCAACTTATTACAATAAATCAACATAATTTTTCTTGTTAATGTATGAAATGAGAATAGATCATTTTCATCAAGCTTTATAAACGAATGCCGCAAGATGTGACATGACATCGAATTGATTAATTTTTCCGAAGTTACTATAGAGGATTTCTGTGGTGATCCAGGTAGGAAGGTGAACTTCTGAAATCTAGAGAAACTTCCTTTCCTCACCAACTTGAACAGACATCAGTCAAATACACTGAGCCAATCAGGTGATCAATTTCTATTCAACGATCATATATCCAACTGACTTATTAGTCTGAACAGTGCTTCATATTACGGTTACCATTATACTTGTTGACAAGTTGCAATACCTATTTGCGACACAACTTCAGTTATTTGGCAAGCTCACAGGTAAACCTGTTTCAAACGATACTGTGTGAAGTGTTTCCAACTTCTTATTTGAAATGAAAGAACACGGTCACCTTGAAAGTGAAATGTATGTGCTCAATCTGTCAGTGAGTTCAAACTATGACGATAATATTGCAGTTCATTACGCTAGATACATGAAAGTATTATAATTGAAGATATAATTATTAAGTGAAGATGACTGTTGGATGAATGATACACTGAATGGTTTATAAATAAGTCTGTTCATCATCTAGTCTGATGTTTCACAAGAAAATTTACAAATCGGTTACATTTATTCAACTTTTCTACTATTTGTATTTTGTCCCTTTTTTCATATCTCTTCTTATTTACAACTGTTATTTTGCAACTACATTAGGTAATGTTATTTGCTTCTGGAATGATTTGTGCTTGTTTGTCAACTCAACCTCGATGTAGTTCATGTATATCGCTAGAATATCACATTTGAAGTGTGATTTTGCTCAGAATTTCAAACAAGTTAACAAGTATTTATGATTTTCATGCAACAAATTGCTAGGGTTGATTACGTTTTTAAACTGTCAATTCAGTTCTTCCCATTTCCATTATTGTTCCTTAGTTATGTTATTGTGTAGTAGTAAGTAGTTCATTTTATCAACGGACATTTTTGAAAGTGTTTCTCATAGAATCGGTTTATTGGTTCGTGTGATATACCTAAATATTTACAGGTGCGCTAGGCATTTCATCCATTTTATTGCTGTAATTTTGTTTCTCCACAATTCTCAGGTAATTTGATTTATTTCACGTGTAGCTCGATGTAATTTAATTTATTTACAACAACTTCCAAATTTAGCGTTGACTAGCTCTCAGTTCATTTTTCGATGAATGACGTTATTCGGGTTTGTCAAAGGTCATTGATTCTACCTAGTTGATCATTTATTATGCATATTGTTTCGTGTTTGGGTGTTCGGAGGACTCAACTTAACGTTGATTGTGGTATGAGCGGCTACTCATACCTTGAAGTGCTCACGATTTGACGTTTATAATTACTACTGTTCATGTCATCTTGCCATTATTAGTAACGTATTTAACAGATAAATGTCTTGTTTTGATTTTGGCATTTCACACGTGACTCATTTGTTTGGTGAGAAATCAGCAGTTACACTGCCTTGAATGCGGATGTCATTAGGAATATCAACACCAACAAACAGACACATTCGTTCAACGAACTGTATCAAGAATGAAATGTATGGTCATTATAAGTCGCCAAACAAAGTTCATTTAAAAAGTGTTTCAATAACCTGATTCAGTGTTCGGGTTTTAAAATAAACTGCTTTCGTTTATTTTTTGTTAGTTCTACATATTGCTTTTTTTAAATGTTTTGATGTACATTCAGCTTGATGATAAATGATATTGAGTTTTGCAATGGATGCACTGCTTTTATTGATACTGGGACATCAACGATTATTGGTGGAAGAGAGCAAGTGACGAGAATCAACACAATGCTTGGTATTTCCTTTCAATTCGGTAGAAGTTTCCTTGATTGTAAACGAATCGACATGCTGCCTCCGATCGAGTTTATCTTTCGTAAAAAGAAGTACATATTGGAACCACATGATTATGTTATTAAGGTGAATGACTTCTTTAGATCAGTTTAGTTATATATTGTGTATTCAGTGTGTTCACTTTCACTATTTTCAAGTCAGTTCGACGGAAATAAAACTTGCAAAATACAGAGTAATATAATGACTTTAGTTAAACTTATTGAGTAATTCCAGTTATTTAGACGGTGAAACAAATGAATGAGAACTACAAAAATTCCCTTTAGAATGCACACATGTTGGAGGTTTCAACAGTAATATCATTGTTAACAACGTGTATAATATTTTCTGTACGAACAAACATTTCTTGTACAATGAAAAAAATTTACTAGTCGAACCGCTTCTCCTAAATTCAAGCTGAATCCATGTGTAAAGATTCAACTTTTCTGATAGCGAACGATCACCAGATATTTGAAATTTACTAACTGTTAAGGACAGTTAATTATCTGATTAAAGTGAAGCTGGTAAAGTTAGCTTTCAGTGTATAATGTGTTAATAGAAGTTGTAATTGACAAGGTAGTAATAGAGAGTTTACTACTTAATAACAGTTTCCTTTCTTTGCAATGGGAAATGCAAAACTGTTTACTAATCGAAATACTTTCCTACGTTTATAATTGATCCTAGAAAATTTCACTAAAAGAGAAGTTGAAATTGATATTTAAATAACTCAATATGAACTATTGTTGTGGTAGAAAATATGAACTACACACTTTCACACTCACAGATAAATTATACCATTCTATAAATGTGAAAGCAAATAACAGAAGAGGATAATAAGCATCTAGTCTTTAATCCTTTTTAAAAATACTATTTTAACTAATAAGAACAAAACAATTTACTTCTGTATTGTTGTTTTCCTCATTTGATTACAGGAGGACTTTTGGTTTAAAACTGTGTGTTCGTCACCTTTTGACATTGATGATTCTTTACCACCGAATTTTTGGGTTCTCGGTGACGTTTTTATGAGAAGATTCTATACTGTATTTGATTTCGGTCAGAAACGTATTGGATTAACTTATGTTTTAAATAAGAAGAATGAAACGAGAATTTAATTAAACAGTAATATGTTGCTAAAATATAGAAATTACAATTGTGTGTACAACAGTGAATGAAATATAAATACAAAATTTATAGCAAACTTGAATTCAATAGATCATCAAGAGATTCTTCAAACTGAGAATTTTTCTTACTATCTATGACTTTTAATTCTGTTAATTACTATGCATTTCGAATATGTGTTTTTATTAGTGTACTGTCAATGTGTTTTCTTGTTTATCACTTACGTATTGAACGTCTGCCTGAATTATATACGAGCATAAATAAAGATTTGTGCTCCGATTTGGCTCTTGTGCCAATCCCTGGTTCATTTGTATGTATATCCGCTTGCTCTGTTTACTAATACCACTGAATTTTGTATTAGAGTCCTTACGTAACGTGAATATCGTGTTTAATAAATAAGTGGTTACAATGTACACGAACGAATTTCAACAAAGTTATGCCTTACAAATGCATTATTACAGTGTATGGGAATGTACATATCCACAACGTGGGCGCGAAACCCACATTTGCATCCTACATACAAATAATGGCTGTTTTATTAATTGTAGTGCTTTTAGAAGCTATGGTAAAGTGAAATAGCTAGTTCTTTGAAAAACATCTAGAATGCATTTCATTCTTACCTTCTAACAGGTGTGGTCCATTATCGTAATCCTCTTCTTTTCCTTCATACATTGCAGCAGAGGAATATTGCACTTACGGGAAAGGAAAATTGACAGGTTGGGATGGTATTGAATCTGCATTTTCATATGAAAATTGACTGAATTGCCCAAATAACCATGAAAAACAAACAGCGTTACTGTGCGATCAGACTCTAAAGATACGTTAACGAAGACAAACGAATTCATCTGATCAGTAGACTATGTAGCTTGAAGAATCGAATCATGTTAACGAACTCCCTGAAGCGAGTTTAGAAAGATGTTTTGCACCTTAAAACTCAACTTATTAGTGTTATTTTCATGATCATTTTCACATTCAACTTCACGGTTTTCTATTTGTTCCCATATATCTAGATATTCTCTAGACAGAAAAGTAGAGCATTCATAAATCACTTGACACGATTTTGTCTGCCGAATAATATAGACGGTAATAATGATTCTTATAATACATTAGAAACAAAATGTCACACCTCATTATCTGAAGTGCGAACCTCTATTAATTATCAAAATACTCAACTAGCATCATTACAAAATCGAAACTGAACTGAGTAAAATCTGTAAGTAATTAGAATTCTCGTTTAGGGTCATGGTATTTTATAGAATATTTTTTTTCACATGGTCATCTACAGTTTACTTCACGGTTCTTGCTTTCAAATCAAATGACTAACTATTACAAAGGATTAATTAGCACGTGCAACACGCAAAATAAGACTTTATACTCAACAAAACATCCGGCACCTTGCCCATGTAAGTTTAACTCAATCATGGTTGATATTTATAGTAAAGTGTCTATTACCTCAAAGGAACATTTATCATTATTATATAGTAATGTTAATTTAACATCAATACTTAAATCACCTACTAGTATTGCTGGCTATTCACCTTCAATGATCGGTCTAATTGAAGATGCCGGTGATAGTGGTCAATCTCAAATGGGTGGAATGCAGTTTGACTGATGTATGTTCAAACGATTGAATGCAAGCTAACCGAAAATTTAATGTTAGAGCTAGGAGGCATTTTTCAGCAAATTTATAAGAATTTTCTATTGAACAACTGTTATTTTCATGAAATGATAAGGTGCACAATGGAAATGATTACTTTGAAATTCAAGAAGTAAGTAAAACAAACCATTCATACAAGATAAACAAGAATCAGATTACCACAAATAAACAACTTGATGTGCAATATAATGATGAGGTTGCTTGAAGATGTTTATGTCAATAATGGCATGATGAAATAAAACCAGAGTAACACGAACACCATTATCTAGCAGACTATGAATGTGAATTCAATGAGTCTACTCATAATTCTCACGTCTCGACTGCATTTACATAGTGAAATTGTGAAAGTCCCTCTCTACTAGATGTAAAGACGTGCTTCACGATTTGGAGTTCACAACAGTTATTTTATGTCTTCGACGAGAAATCGAGGGAATGAGTGGAAGCATAGAAAATATTACCATAGAAACAGCTCGTTAATTTTAGAAATGTACGTGTTACAGTCAGATTGTTAGTCTCAAACTTTCTTTCTTTCAAGTAATGTGAGTTGATCTCATATTAAGTAGATGCCCCTCGTTAATATGTGCATGAAATAGACTAAGTGGATGTTTCCCACAGATGTAACTATGATACAGTGATTGTGTAGTAGCTTCAAAGAATTGTTGGTTTCTTGATATATATTGTTGGACGTTTTCCTTTAACGATAGCTCGAAATCGTTGACTTATGTAGCAGATGGTTGAAATTTTCATGTCAGTCATCTGGACAGTGATTTCACTGTATTATGCAGTGTGGACACCATAAATTTCTTCAGGGATCTGCGATCTAGCAAAAGCAATTCATCGATAGCATCTTTTCTATTACACGGTCGTTTGACTCCAATATGCCATACTTAAATCGTTTGGATGAACGTATGATTGAATTATTCTGTTGATATGTTTGTAAATAATGAAGATATTGAGGATGCCTGAATATATTTGAAAGTATTTGAAGAAATCAAAATTAATATTTGAAGTTGTTATTTGTTTTATCTGTTGCCAAAGTCGTTCGATAGTGTGCATAACTATCTAGTCAACCTAGACTATTATGTCCATATTGTAGGAATTATGAATCTCAATGGATGACTGAGTGTACGGATATAGGAAGGATGAAAGACAAGAGATGGGTGTGGACTTATGCTTATCGGGTTGTAGCAATTTGGCTAAGTGAAAATTTTTCCCAATTTACTCAGTCTATGAACAAACGAAACTACGTAAACACTAGATCCATGTACGGGAGATTCTGAAGTATATTTGGGAATACTGGGATATTCCCATATATCGACATCCGTCAACTCGGCATGCCAATTATTCCATCATAAACCGATTGATGTTTAACCACCACCTTTGGAAACCTGGAAACACTGGACGGCCGTTTCGTCCTATCGTGGGACTCCTCACCAGTGTGCACCCACGGTCCGGCTCGCGGGATTCGAACCCAGAGCCTTCGGTCTCGCGCACGAACGCTTAACTAACTGGACCACTGAGCCTGCATCCAATGGATGGTGATAATGTCTAACATCAACTAATCCACGAAACTGCGAGACCAACTTCCGTTGTACTGAGGTAGATACCTGTCTCTACCCGACATGGATTATGTTCACTGGTCACGGATTCTCACTAGAACTCCGAGAATTCCCTCACGAAGCTAGTCACTAGTGAGCACATGTTGATTACTAGTATGGGGGTTGTGGAGATCGGTTCATGATCTCAATCAAGTACTTAATAATCTCGAAAAACCCTATACTAATATTCCATCCTATTTATCAGATAAGTAATCGAGATTAAATATACTCCTCACTTCAGCAAACGCTTGATTCCGAATCTCCAACGAGTTTATCTGTGACGGTATCTTATTTCTGTTAGGATGTGCAGAAAATTATACCAAAATTTATCATGTTAAATCTAATGGTGGCCTTGGACTTTAAATGTACACTCCCTATTTTTCGATATCTATTTCACTTGATAAATATTGTACAAATGTTGTTTTCTACTTTATGGTATGATGTGGTCTGATTGATTGTTATAAAAACAGAGTATGTCTGAAATATAATGATCCATAACTCAGAGGCTGAGACTTGTGTTCTGGACTCAACTGTCTGTGCTAGACATCGAAGCAGGGCCAGTCAGAAACCAAGGCCGTTCTTACGTGTTTGCGCGTCATTGGTCCGATCAATAATTCGCTACCCTTTAATCAGCAGCATTTTTCACGTTATAACAATTTCGAAACATTCGCAATTCTTACTCGTATAGTGTCCACACTCCAAAATCCAGAGTAATCACTGTCTAAATAATGGACATTAAAAAT